CTTCGACCGTAATGGAACCAATTAGAACCTCCTGTTTTAGGGTCAAAAGGTCTTCCATAACCGCCAGGGTCATATGGTGCGACTGCAGTTACTGGCGCTGGTGATGGCGCAGGTGCTGAATTAATCGGCGGTGCCTCAATTGGTGGATATTCTGGCTGTTTCTCCTTTTCTTTAAGTGAATTTAATTTAAACTCTTCGCCATTCAACTGACCTTTAAAATCTTTTAGCTGCTTAGATATTTCATTATCTTCACCTAAAAGGTTTTGCGACTGGTCAGCGACCCAGTTACCTAATTTCTTTAACTTTTCAGATTTTAATTTTCTGGCAGCAGCTCCCACAAGCATTCCAGCATTATTTTTAAAGCTTTTGATACAGCTCCACCAGTTAAACCGTCAATAGCTTTATAACCTCCATACAAAGCTGATAGTGTTGAAAATACCATTTAATGCTTATTAAAATCATTTCTCATAATGATTAACTCATAAAATTTTTCATCGGAGCTAAACGTTAATGAAACTCTGACTTTTTCACCACTGAACCTCTTTAATAGTTCATTAATTCTATCAATTATGTTATCACACTCACTTACATCATCAATGATAGTAATATCATCACAAATTATTTTTACATTTAACGACGTCATTTATTACAAATTAATTTCTTCTATTCTTTAAATAATTAATAAAAGACCTAATACGTGCGAGTGGTTCGCGGTTCCTTTCCTGTGTCGGGCTTGTTTGAATCGGTGTAGATTTTTTCAGACCTGTTGGAATAAGATCAGCCCCGGCAGTTGAATTAATCGGTGTTCTATATAAATTTCTATATAAATATGGTCCCGCTACGGCACCAGCAGCTAATAAAAGACCTACAGGAATTACAATTCTATTATAGTTCCGCGGTTTAGGATCTTCATCAAAACTAGCCCATGCGCTTTCAGTCGTTGAACTCATTTATATATAATTAAATTTTAATAAGCGATTAATATGAGTTCGATAATAATACTATCTTTTCTGTCATCAGGAAGGACAATATCTTTTAGGCTCGATGGTTCAACTAATTTTATATTAAATTTATTAACATAATTAGTTATTGAATAATGCTTCGGCGGAGAATATAAACAGTTTGATAAACATAAAATAGAATCTTCAGCGAATTCACTTATACTTGATTTAATGATTGCCGCTTCTCTGGACCAAACACCATTAAATGAAATTGATGTTAATAAATAATCATCATTTTTAATGGAAATTGATTTTGGTAAGTACTCCAGGAGGTCATTTAATGTTATCTGTTCTGCTCCGAACTGAGCAAATCGATAAAAGCATTCATCATTATTAATTCCTGTAATCTCTTGAAAATTTTTATTCGTGTATATATTTTCAATCTCATCACCGACAGCACCATCTTTTAAATCAAATATGAAACCAGCTTTTGAATTTGAATTAACACGAAATTCTATTGAATTAGTTTCAAAACTATAAAACATATCAACTTCATTAGGTTGAGGATATCCGGCACCTTTTAACTGTTCAATAAGAACCGATTTAATCTTTTTATTAAATGCTGTCATATCATCTCCTGTGTCTAAATCTATATAAATCTGTAAATCATATTGATGATTATCTCTTATTATTCCAAAGTTATATAATTCAATGGTTCGTCCTGCAGGAATGGTTTTTATCTGTCTTATTTCAATTGCTTTTTCGCCAGTGTTATAATCAACCCAGTGTTTAGGGTATTCATAAATGTATTCACCATTGATTATTTTAAACGGTTGTGAAAATATGTGCTCATAATAGATTTTAATACTTTTATCATTAAGACTGGGAACGGTATTAACAAAATTTCTGACTTGCATTTTTAATTATAATAAAATGAAACATTTATTTGAAGAAGTAGATGAAAAAATGAATGAAAAATCTGATAAACTCAATAGTTCATTAATTCTTCCCTTCAGTAAGGATTATCAGTTCTGTTCAAACGGTGTGTATTTCTATTGCGGAAAAATGGGTTCGGGAAAGACTTTTAATTTAATTCGTCATATTTTAATTACTGAACGTTTAGGCTCTGAAGCTATTCTCCGATTAATTCATATTATGACCAAATCATTATATCAGCAACTTCAGATTCAATGGATTCAACAGCGAAGACGTTTATGGTAAAGTTCAGGCATCAGTAATTAAAGTTCCAGATAGCGAATTAATTTCTTTTCTTCAACGATATATAAGAAGAAAGAAGAAATATTATGCAATAGTTGAATTCATACAATCAGGAATGCAAAAGACCTCGGAAGAAATGGAAAGAATTATTGATAAACATCATTTGAGACAGCAGGATGGTACGTATGATATGAAACGATTGACAAACTACATTCTCTCAAAACTTTCAAAATATCCTTTTAAAAAATATCCATCAAACACTTTATTAGTTTGTGATGATTTCGCTGGTAAAGGTTTAGTTTCAAAACCAGATTCACCATTAGCTAATTTAATTACTAAAGTCAGACATTATCACATGACTGTAGCAATACTTATGCAAACGTGGAGGTTTTTAGCTTTAAACATTAAACGTCTCATTACTGATTTCGTTATATTTCAAGGTTTCTCAAAATACGATATAGAATTAATTTGGAAGCAATCAGGTATAACATTACCTTTTGATGAAATCTGGGATGCTTATAAATCACTCATTTCACCACGTTCATATTTAGAAATTCATATAATGACTAATACAATTAATGTTAAAAATATACCTTGGGAAAGACCAACATTATTTTAAAGCTTTATTTTTAGATGAGGTGTAGTGAATAGATTCCATCCATCTCTATCACCATTTCTGTTTATATTTTTGGTGTCATTCATGTCCACACTTTCTGGATCAGTTAGTTTTTGAGGATAAAGATTAGAATAACTGTTTTTAATTGATGGTGCCTCACCTTTTAACGCATAAACTCTATTACTTTCTGCATATTTAATATTTGAACCACCAGATCCATCATTTACGTAAATAGTAAATGGTTTATAATCGATGTTCATATTTCGACTTCTGCCTTTTGATTTCTTATTTAACACCTCAACATCTTTATAAACTGCGCCCGTTTCAGTGAATTCAACAAGATTTTCATTTTCAAGTTTCACGTTTAAACCTTTATCAAAGATATTATTCATTTTTATAGTAATAAAAGGTTTTTATTCTCTAGAAAATGAGAAGTAAATCCATCTTAGCCGGTGCAGTGAATGTTCCTATTGAACCGACGTCGAATGTTGATTCAAGAACGACAAATAATATTATAATCAAAAATTACAGCTCCGAAAACTTGAAAGATAAAGAGCCGGAGCTAAAATCCGTTAATTTAAACACAGCTTCAAACACAAACGCTAACAGTGAAGTTAAGTTAGAATATCCACCTCCATTAGAACCAATCATATCGCGTGATGCTCAAGATAATCCATATTCAACTATTCAAACTAATCCTTCAGATAACGTAGACCATTACCTCCTTAATTTATACCAAACAATATTACTCAAAGACGATAAGAAGCTTTTGACAAATCTTATTAGTAAGAATCAAATAATATTAACAAAGGAGGATTTAGAAAATGTTATATCAAGAATAACAGGGAAACAGTGCGTTATTGATTATCTTGACCCTGAAATCGAATGCTGCGGTCAGATGCCGGTATTTATGAAAATCGGTAATGTTAGAATAATCGAAACACCAGGAACTACAGGAGTTGAGCTTAAGTATAAATATTCGAATGAATACACAAAACTTTCAACAGAATATAAACTTTGCTTGAAATATGTTTTAACGAATTAATTTAAAATTTATATTTTTATACCTGGTTCATCATCTAGTCCATTAGCTCTTATATTAGACCAAAAATCAACTTCTATGGTCATCTGCACAGGAGCTTTAATTTCAATTGGTTCGCCTTGAAAATCAACTAATCTAAATGTCATATCTTTTAAGTGATGTGGTTGAATTCGAACCCATTTTCCTTCGTGCCTTAATAAAATCGGAAAATTAGGCATGAATACAGAATTAACGGCGTAACAGAACGATTTATATTCTTTAACAGAATTTTTATTATTAACTCCTGATATTCCTGTTACATTACTTATTTTTGATTCAACATATAAACAGTTTCCATAACATATGTAGGGTGCAGATTTCATTTCAATTATATATTTTTGATTTTCAATAGAAGATTTTAATGGTAATTCTTGATGATAAGCACCTAGTAATAAACGTGCTCGATGAGTCATATCACTAATTTTAAATTCTTTTTCGGAACTAAATTTTATTATTCCTGAATCAGTTAATTCACAGTTAAGGGCTCCGTTAAATTTTTCATCAATGAGATCCTGAATCTTTTTCTCTAACGTATCAATATCATATTTATTTCTTGCTTTAAAATGAATTTTATTTTTCATATTCAAATGGACTGAGTGTTAACATTTAACATTTTTTGCTAATTGTCGTCAAAAATTAGGCGTAAAGCAAAAATTGATATTTCATATGGTTTTATGATAGATAAGCATTATATTCCCACTCATTATATTCGTAAATTTTGAGGGTTATCCTTCGCTTTTAAGATCATTGAATTTGATTTTTATATAAAATAGTTATATATTAGAAAATAATATGAGTTTATGTGATATTATTTTTCAGAAGATTTTGTGTTCTTCTTCAAAATTTTATTTTTTTATTAAAAAGAATCTTTACAAAATATACATTTACTTTAATTAATATTTAAAAACGTGCTCTATCAAAAGTTCCAAAAATTCAATATTTTAGCTTTTCTGAGGTGTCACTTTTGATGAATTTCTGTTTACAACAGTCTGTTATAACAAATGAAGCGATAGTGCTAAAATCAAGAACTCTGAAAGCTAGTGGTTCATTCTGAAGACCAAGGTTAGTTTGTAATTTTAATGTCCCGTAATCATTAGGGTCTGTACTTTGCAAATAGAACAACATTTTTATTATAATTAAAAATATGAGTATATCCGCATATTCTTATGAAGCTGATAGGGCGAAAAGATTAATTTTTGGTTCATACACGTTTTCATTTGATGATGAGCATTTAATAATCACTGATGGAAAAACTGAACATTATATCTCATGGAAAGAATATGAAAAATTTATTCCAATATTAACGCCATGTACAATGCCTTTTATTAAAACTGGTGAAATTATTGAAAAAGATAACACAACAGTATATAGGTCTGTTTATGAAGCATTAGAATATATGTTGAATTATAATCCCGAAAGATTTGACCCAAGCACTACGCCATGTGCAATGCCCTTTCTGATGGACGGTGAAATCGTAAGGGTTCCGAATTCAACGGTTTATACAGCTGTTCAAAACAGTTTACAAAACATTTTAGCGAATATCTTTAATTCAGAAACTACAGAAATAAAATTACCGTATATAACAGATGCTAAAGAAATTAAATTAAAAACAACAACATTATTTACATCACTTAATGATTTAATGACTTATATAATTAATACTCCCCAGCCGACTTCGGCATTTGACCCTAACTCGACGGTTTGCAGTGTACCTTTCATAAATGACAGTTCAGTAATTGAATTAAGGGATTCAACAGTTAATGAATCATTAAAAGCTTCATTAATGAAAATCATTGATTTTAACTCATTCATGAATACATATAATTCATTCATTAATGTTTCATACACTTCTAAAGAAGGTGAGCCAAAAACTATCGATAAAGCGGTGTATGAAATAAAAGCATCAATGACGAAATTGAATTCGTTAACTTTTGACGGTGATAGTTCCGTTAACAGCATGACATTAGGGAAAACGATTTTAACGAAAGAATATTTAAAATCTCATGTTAGTGAGTTCGTTGAAATTGAAAAAGAAGGCGGAATTAAGTTCGATCCACTGGGTTTCATTTTTGACTTAGCGAATATGGACGTTTTTGGGGTCGAAAGCGGGAATGAGTGAACTTGTAGATGCTGCAAGAACATTAGGTGAAACGGGAAATTTTGTAGATGGTTTTAAAAGACTTGTTTCAAATGTTTTAACAAACACAAAGAAATTATTTAGATATACCGTACATAACGGACAGATTTTCGAACAGGTAGCAACAAACCCTCCGGTTATGGCTGCGTTGATGATGGCTAGAGACATAAACGAAGAGGAAGAAACAGAGGAACAACAGGATACGGGTCAGGTTATTCGAGACATTAAAAACGTGTATCCTGAAGTTATTGATTTATTTAGAGGTGTTAATGATTCGATTTCAAATCATTCTATAACCATTGATGAAGAGAATAAATTAACAGATTATATATTCGTCATTATTGCAGAACTAATGAAGAGAATAAATGAAAAAGGTATTGATGATATAATTAATGTCAGCGATGTAATGATGAAAAGAAATTTTGACTCATTATTTACATAACCGAAAACAGAATACAGTCTTTATGATGTAATTACTGAATTAATGAAAAAGATTAATGATAATAAGAGTTCTGGCGGAAGAGTTGAATTAGAAGTGAATGATGTTAATGAGAAATTAGATAGTAAAGCAGATAAAGACCATGTTCATTATATAAGTTCAGATGAACAGATTATAACGGATTATCATGGATATTTAACACAGGATGAAGAAGTGAATACGGAAGATGTTAATGAAAGAAGATATAAATTCATTCGTGCTGAAGGTTATGACATAAGATGTGTTATAAATTATGATACAACAGGTAAAGCACCAGAAGCATTTGATTATAACGATGAAATTTATGCTTCATACTTCTTTGTTAACGATGTATTAGTTGAACCAAGATTTACTTTGATGGTTAAGTCAAAAATAACTGTTGAAGATGCGATTAAAAATAAAGCTGATGTAAATCATATGCATCCTGAGTTAAATCAAGAAATAGTAATCTTAAGGCATGATTTAATAACAGAACATAACGACATAAATTCACTTCAAACTTCATTAGACAGTAAAGCAGACAAGAACCATACACATGAATCCTTTACAACTGTTAGAGCAGACGACATAATATTGAATTTTAACCTTGGTTCAAGTGCACCTTTAGAAAATCCAAGTACAAGCGTAAAAGATACTCTTAACAATTTAGATAACAGTTGCAGGAACATTGAAGGTCATGTCAGAAACTTTGAAGCATATAAACTACCAGCAGTGTTAGATAAGAAAGCCGACAAAACTTATGTAGATGAAAAAACAGAATATGCTAAGAACAGTGCAATAGATTATACAGAGTGGACGATGGAATGGGTCAATCAATTACTATCAATGGTAAAATAAATGAAAGATTTTCGAATATCGATTCATTAACAGTTAATGACATTCAATTACATCATCAGTTACCGGGTCAAAAGAATGTGGAATATAATAATCTCACTAACATTCTCGATGGTTTCGATGAATTTAGAACTAATGCAACAAATGCTATTGCAAGTATGAAGAATGAAATATTACAAGCCATATATCCTGTTGGTTCTTTATATACATCAATGAATTCAACAAATCCGGCAAGTGTTTTAGGTTTTGGTACATGGCAGCAGATTGTAGATAAATTCTTATACTGTGCTAATTCATCAAATCAAACGGGTGGTTCAAAGAAAATTACTGAAGCAAATCTTCCACCACATAAGCATACAGGAACTACAAGTGATTCTGGAGACCATCAACATACTATTGATGGTAGTTTCTTAAATCAATGGCAAAAAGATTATAACAGCGATAATGTTTATTCTCCAACAGAATATACATCAAAAGTAGTTCAGCACAAAACAACATGGAATGGTAATCATTCACACACTTTCACAACAAATACAACAGGAAGTGGTGCAGATTATATGCCACCATATATTACAGTTTATGCATGGGTTAGAACAGCGTGAAATTTGTAAAATTTATTTCTACATAAATGAGTTTAAAAGAAGTTTTCGAATCATCACCGTGGAGGTCATTTAAAAAATTCTATGAAGCTGCAAAGAATGCGGGATTTAATGATGGAACAGAAATTAAGAGATTTTATGATGAAAATATAGTTCATCAAGTTAAAGTTAATCCATACGACTACTACCTTCCCATTTATTCTAAAACCCATGATGCATATCAATTTGATACACTCGTTCAGAGTAAGAAAGGAAGAAAGCCACCATTTTTGATTTTCATTAATGTTAATACACGAAAAGCTTTTGCGTATATAATGAAAAATAAAGGAACAAAAGAAGTTTTAAGAGTTTTGCAGACGTTCGTGGCAGAACATCATCCCACTTCATTAACTTCAGACCAGGATTCAGCATACCTCAGTAATGAAATTACAGAATTTTTGATTAAACATAATGTTACTCATTATACGACTGAAGACCATAACCATAATATTTTAGGTATCATTAATCGTTTCATTCGAACGCTCAGAGATTTAAATAAAGAAAGAGATTTTACGGAGGAATCAATGAATAAAGTCATTAATGCTTATAATAAATCAACTCATAACAGCACAGGATTTAAACCAAACGAAATGACTTCAAAAGAGGAGGATGAATATATAAAACAAAAAAGAATGTTAACGGAGGAAAGAAGAAGTTCATCATTACTACCAGGAACTAAAGTTAGAATCATTCTTGAACATAAACCGCATGAAAAAGTAAGAAATCAGTTAAGTGATGATTATTATATCGTTGATTCCTCACAGGGTAATGGTTATTTAATTAAAGCAGCTGACCATTCGGTTGCGTTTTATCCACGATTTCGATTAGTTGAAAGCGAAAATGGAAGATTAGCTAAGACGGTTGATGAAGCGAAAAGAGGTATAGTTAATAAAATTGTGAGTTATGATGAAGACAAAGATGAATACACTGTCATTTATGAAGGAGGTGTGGATGATAAAATTCCTTCTAGAAATTTGAGAGAATCGAACCCTACACATTTATCGGAACTCGAAAAGGATTACTGGAAGGATAAAAATAAGCCAAAATTAATCAAAAAATTTTTATGAACTAAATATATTTTATGTCTGAAGTTAATTAGTTAATAAAGTAGCGGATGAAATACAGAAATATATTATATCGTTAATGATTTTAGGTTATTCAATAATTAATTATTTTTGAATAACTGAAGGTGTCACCACGTCACCATGTCACCAGGTTAATTAAATTCTTTTAAAATTAATGACAACATGACATTTAGACAACAGTCTCGGAAATTTGATGCAGTCCAAAAATAAAGTTAGTTTTAAAATTATTTTTATTTTTTTATTCCTATATAAATGACAGCAACAAACAACAACAGCAACTTTATCATTTCTGATGAAAATATCATTGATTCATTAGCTGAGGAATTAGTTGTGGCAGAAACTAAAACCCTCAACGAAAGAATTGGTGAAAATAAGATTGATTTACATAACTACCTCAAACACGATGGAGGAAGAGGAAGGAAAACTGGTACGGCTTTATTAGTAAATAAAATTCCAAATTTAACTATTATAGATGTTGATATCAATAAATCGTACAATGATGAACTTAAAGAAACAGTTAGAAAAGATATTTTATCAAAACTTTCGGATAAAGATGTTATCGTTAAAACCGCTTCAGGAGGTCTTCACATTTATTGCAACACTAATTTCTTCTATTCAGCCTCGAACAGAATGATTAAATGTTATTCATGCAATGATTACGATATTGATATAATGACTTCTATGGATGATTCAAAGCGTTCATTAGTGGTTATGGCTGATTCAAGAGTTCGCAAGAATGCAACAGAACCAATAAAAACATACTCATTCATTCGTGGAAGTTATGATTCAACATTAACTAGAACCGTAAACGATATATTAAATGATTTGAATATTAAGGTAAGGGTTGAACAGAAGAACGAAGAAATAAAGAGTATAATGAATGAAAACAAAGATGTAAACATTGACGATAAACTTGCCCAGAGCATAGTCGATGGTATTAGTGATTTTGAAGTACATAATGACGGTGGGAACATGAATTTAGAAAAAGAAATAACATTATTCACACTGTTTCAAGCTATTAATTCATTTCCGGATCATTTAATTAATGAAGCCTACGATAACGTTTATAACTTCTGCAGTTTAACAGAAAATGCAAAAAGTAATTTTGAAAAAGCACGTAGTAGATATGCACATTTAATGACTTCTCCATTTGTTTTGGTGAAGATTCTAAAACTTTATCAAAAGGAATATTATGATGAATACGTTTTACCTTTATTATGTAAACCAAAAATAACATTTGATATAAAACTTGATGATTCATTCTTGATAACAGATATTAGACGTAAGGCTGAAAATCATCAGTATAAAAACAGTTCTGAAGTAATTGAGGATTTATCACGTGTCATTCGTTTTGTAGATTGTGTAAATAAATATTTCATTCAAAAGGATTACAACATACACGACAAAATGAATCAAATATCATTCGTTCTTCAATCAAACATGAAAGAGTCACTCAAAATGATTAAATTATTTAAAGAAGAAGGTAAAACCATAATAGCATGGGATGTACTACTAAATCAATTATCCTCATTAACCGTTAAGGGTGTTTGCTTCAAATCTGATTCTCCAGATGTTTTCTCAACGTTTCAGGGTTATAAATACAACGTTCTCGAAAAGCCAGATTACTCAAAAATTGAAATGTTTATGAATTTCATTAAAGAAGCCATTTGTGATAATAATGATGAAGTGTATAAATACCTTCTCGGCTGGATTGCATCAATTATTCAACATCCTGGAGTTAAGAATGAAACAGCAATTATTTTGAAAGGACTTCAGGGAACAGGTAAAAACAGATTTACAGACATTATTTCTGAACTTCTCGCCGGTTATTCATGCAAAAACATTACTGAAATAAGTGAGCTAACGGGTAATTTTAACTCGGTTGTTGAGAATAAAATGTTTCGTGTACTTAATGAACTCAAGAATGTTGGTGAAGATAGACTCGCAAACTTCAACGCTTTGAAATCAATTATTACGGATAATCAAATAAGAATTAATGAAAAGAATCAACCCAGAAGAACTGCCCAGAACGTTGCAAACTTCATTTTCATAACTAACAACGTCTACCCTGTCAAAATTGAAGTTGGAGACAGAAGATATGTAGTTTTAAGGGTTAATGGTAAATTTAAGGGTCAATTTGATTACTTCAAGAATTTAATGAATTCATGCACAAAGGAATTTTATGATAACCTTTTAACATATTTCCTCAATTACGACCTTTCATCATTTAATGTACGAATTATACCGATGACTGAAGCCAAACAAGATTTAATAGAATTATCAACAAATCCTTTAGATGAATGGATAAATACACATTATGATGAATTGTGTGCAGGTATGACGTGTAAAAATGCTCTATGCTGCAAACCATCAGACATGAAAGACAAAAACTTTCAAATGAGCATTAAGGATAAATGTGAAAGGAAACAAAGAAGAATAGATGGTAAACAGACATGGTGTTATGTTTTGAAAGAAGAAATGAAAGGATTATATAAACAGGTTGAACCAAACGATAATGATGATTCATTTACTGACGATGAAATACCTGTAAATGATGCAGTATAAAGTATGATTGGAATTTATTTTTTCATTAATCCCACCTGTGATGTCTAAATGTCATGTTGTCACACTTTTTAAAAGAAGTTAATTAACCAGGTGACACATGGTGACGTGGTGACACCTTCAGTTATTCAAAAATAATTCATAAATGCCTACCTCCTTTCGTACCTGTTGTCTAAATGTCATGTTGTCAGTAAATTTTAAAGAAGTTAATTAACCAGGTGACACATGGTGACGTGGTGACACCTTCAGTTATTCAAAAATAAATTTTCTTATAAAGCCTCAGGGTCTATTTCCTCAATCACTTCACTTCCTTCTTCATCATATTCAATCGTTGCTTCCTCAATTACTGGTAGGAGTTTATGAATAACATCTTTATTCGTTATCGTCTTCAGTGATGAAGGATAATATTTCACAACTACTTCACCTGGAGGGCTCTTTGAGCCCATCTCGGCGCCTTGCGCCTTCTTATATTCTTTCTGCTGTGATAAATCTAAGGCGATGCTGAAAAATTCAGCGTTGGAGTTCTTCATAATCGTATAATGAGAATCTTTAATATTTACAAATATTCCTTTCTGTTTAAGTAATACTGCTATTTCATGTGGTGTGTAACGTTTTCTGTCAATAATGATAGCGTATGGTTTAACAAACTGACCGTATTTAGATTCTTTCACAAACTTTTTATTTAATATAACGTTCACGTTTTTTCCATTTATGAATTCACCCTTAACAGCAGTAGCGAGAGCATTGTATGAATAGAACTTGTATTCAGACATTATTTTATTAAAATTAAAAATATAAATTATTTTAAAAAAATAAGTTTATTTTTAAATTATATTTTTTACGGAAAATATTTTTTTTATTTTCCATAAAAGATGTATAAAAAGCCATCTAGATTAGACCATGAAGAAATTAAGAAGTTATTGAAGAATGCTGACATTGAAGTTAGCAAAAGATATGCGACTAACAAATCTTCATTAGCTAAATACCTCAATGATTACAGAGGTGAAATCAGTTACGAGAAAATTAATGATTACATTAATAACAAAACATTTCCTTTAAATGATGTTCAGGTTAATTTATATCATAAACAATCAGTACCGAAGGAAGTTAGGCAGGAAATTCATGATATGATGAATGTTGATGTAGGAAGGACAAGGACAGCAGTACCGAAGGAAGTAAGAAAAGAAATGTATGATATAACTAATGATGATGTAGGAAAGACGCGTAAGGTAGTACCAAAAGAAGTAAGGCAGGAAATGCACGATATAACTAATGTTAATGTAGGTGAAACGAGAAAGAAGAAAAGCGATGAAGAAAAGAAAAATATAGCTATAAAATATGCAAAAGCAATTGCACAATTACGCAAAGCAAACGAAGTGATTAAATCTATAGATGATAAAGCTCTCTATGGTGAGAAATGGTTAAAGAAGGATGAAAATAATAAACGCAAAAATGTTAAAGCAGGAAATAGAATCATAGATTTTAACATTCGTGAACTCAATGAAGAAAACAGAAATTACCTACATGAACGTTTCGGTAAAATGTTTATTAGGCTTCTGCAGAAGATAAAAGTAAATTCACAGCAAAAATGGATGATTTGTTATAAACTTGATGGTAAATTTACTAATTCAACATTGAATATCGAGAACATCGGAGCTTTACTTCATCAGTTAAAGCAAGAAAACTTTATAACAGAGATTGAAGCAAACGCAGCCGGAATTATAGAAAAACATTATGATTTCTTCATGACAAATATTAAGAACCTCGAAGAAATTAAAATGTATGATTTAACTGAATATGAAGGATTAACGATGAGCGATATTAAGAAAGGTAAGCCACAGAAGAGAGAAAAAAGAGATGAAAGCAAATTATCAAAAGACCAGAAAGAAATTTTAGAGGCGTTAAAGCAAACAGGAAACCAAAAACTAATTGATACTTTCTGGAGGGATAATGGTGAAAAGAGAACGAATAAAAAGAGAAGTGGTGAGTTTTGGAAATATATTTGCAGATTACCTATAAATCTTGAACGCTATCAAATTTTCAATGAACTTAACAAAAGAACTGCAAAATTGATGACAGAAGATAACTGCTTCGTTTATGCTTGCATTCAGGCTGGAGTTGATGAGGAGACTGTAGACCACATGCGTGAAGTCATTAGAGTTAAAGATTTTCCACAAAATAAGATTCAGGAAATTTCTAACGCAACAGGCATAGCATTTAATGTTACCATTGGTTATTTCGATAATTCAAAAGATAATAAGACAGTTCATTATACACCATCGAAAACAGAAATAAGGAAAACTATTGATTTATTACTCGTCGAAGACCATTATATGTTAAATGAAAGATTACCCATGACAACATATTTTATCAAAAATTATAACGAAATTCTCAAATCATTAGGCGGCTGGAATATCGAGCGTCAAATGAAAATATATAAGAGAAGAGAAAATAAATTTGTCATTGATTCTTCACGAACAACTGCTTTATGGGAAATTTTGAAAACATTAAGAGAATGCAATTACTTTGAACCTTTATCTTATGGTGAACTTTTCACTTATGCAACAGATTTATATAAACAAAATCTCGCACCGTTTAAAGATTTAAATTATACTCCTAAATACTGTGTTCAGTTAAAGAAAAAGTCTGAAAGTAAAGATAGTGATAAATCAAAACAAAAATTCATTCCTGAACACATTTTCTTCGCTGACTTTGAATGTAGCACTGATGGAGTTCATAAAGCCTTTAACATTTGTTATGACAGTGAAGATGGAAAGATTAGCGAAAGCATTTGGGGTCAAAATTGTGCAACAGAATTTTTAGAAAGAATTCCAGATAAGAGTTTAGTATCTTTTCATAATCTCAGTTATGATATCAATTTCATTTTAAGACATTTAACAGAAATCAGTGGTACACCAATTATTAAGGGTTCTAGAACAATGCAGATAACGGGAATATATAAAGGTAAAGCAATCATTATAAAACATTCATACACTGTTATAAATAAGAAGCTTAAACTATTTCCTGAAATGTTTCATTTACAAACAGGTCCTAAGGAAGTATTCCCATACAAATACTATTCAAGTTCTTTATTAGCTAATGATAACAGAACTGGTGTCATTTCTGAAGCATGTAAGTTTGTCCAGGATGTTGAAACGTTCATGAAAAACATAGATTTAATCGAAAACTGCAGAATAAATGAAAACCATTTCGATTTAGAAAAATATAGCTCATTTTACTGTAAACAGGACGTAAGGATTTTAAGAGAAGGTTTCGTTAAGTTCAGAAATGATATATTAAAAGAATTTGATTTAAACGTTTATGATTACGTTAGCATTTGTTCAATTGCTAATAAATTATTTGAGAACAGAGTATACTTCCCTAATGGAAATTTATATGACCTATCAAATAAACCTCGTGAGTTTATTTCACGCTGTATTCAAGGTGGAAGATGTATGTTAGCTGATAATAAGAAACAAAAGAGCGAAAAGAAACTCATTGCTGACTTCGATGCTGTCTCACTATATCCATCCGCTATCGCGAGACTTTATACTTTAGAAGGAATTCCGAAAGTTTTGAAGCCAGAAATGTTAAACAGTGAATAATTGTTAAAACATTTATTCGATGATGACCAGGGCGAGCCTGAAGGTGAGAAATTCATTTCTGGCTTCTTCGTTTTAATAAAAATAACTGATATCAAGATTAAAAGACATTTTCCACTTATAACAGTCGATCCAGAATTAAACCCGGAGCTAAAGGCGAAAAGCACCAAGGACAAAGCCAAGGACAAAGCCACTGTTCCAAGAAGTTCAAACACATGCTGTTTAATGTATGTGGACCACATCACTTTACAAGATTTAATAAAATATCAGGGCATCAGCTGCGAAGTATTACAGGGTTACTACTATGATGAAAAGAGAGATTTTAGAATAAGAGATGAAGTAAAGAAATTGTTTGAATTGAGATTAAAGTATAAGAAGGAAGAAAACCCGCTACAAGAAAATATTAAATTAATTTTGAACAGTATTTATGGAAAAACTATTTTGTCCCCGATAGAGTCGAAAATTAAAATCATTGATGATAAAGATGCTGTTAGGTATGCCATCAGAAATTATAATCATATTATTAAGTTCGAAGGTTTAGATGGTTCGGATAAAACTATTTTCAAACTAACTAAAAGCATTTGCAGACACTTTAACTTTTGCCCCTTAGGTGTTAATATCTTATCTATGTCGAAACGTATCATGAATGAAGTATTTTGCACGATTGAAGACTTAGGATTAAAAGCGTTTTATCAGGATACATATTCGATGCACATTTACAATGAAGACATACCAAAACTCGCTGCAGAGTTTAAGAAGAGGTATGATCGCGAACTTATTGGAAAGAATTTAGGTCAGTTCCATTCCGACTTTGCAGAAATCACAAAAGGTAAACAAAGTTTAGCTTATAAGTCGATATTTTGTGGAAAGAAGACTTACATTGACTTACTCACTAATGATTTAAATGAAGTTGCATTTCACTGCAGAATGAAAGGCGTAAAACAAGATGTTATAGCTTTAACAGCAAATGAAATGTTTCCTGAAGCAGTTAAATGTGTTTATGATGAAGATAAAGGATTAATGATTCCTCAGGGAAAATATGATAAAGATAGTGAGTTTTCAGTTATGAAATTATATGAAGCCCTTCATAGTAGTCAGGAAATTGCATTTGATTTATGCAAATCATCAGCACCGTGTTTTGAAGAGAAGTTTAACTTTTCAATAACGACTAAAAATACTTTCATAAGAAAGTTAAAGTTCTGAAGTCATTTATGATATAATATATTTTTATCGTTCAAGACAAAAATAAACTTTTCATATTAAATTATGTAAGCGTTTGAATTTACTATATGTAATGCACGTTCTTTTGTTATATGAACCATTTATGTTTTCATTAATGTATAGTTCTTTATACTGACGACCGTTATAATAATAAAACAAATCTGCATTGATGTCGTAAAATAAATCCTCAAATTCATGATTTCCATAATGTGAAACAGTAATTGAATTTTCACTGATTTCATCAACGAAATTATATTCTACTCCATTTGCTTTACTTCTATTTCTATTATTTGTAGAACTTGAACACCAATGTAAATTATCAATCTTATTATTATTTCTAACTTTATCGTAATGGTCAACTTCCCCAAAACTATCAGGATTATCAATCCACTGAATAGCTATTAATCTATGCTTAAGATATTTTTACCGTTAAGGGTTAATCTTATATATCCATTCTTTTCTTCATACTCACTGACAGTCTTTCCGTTTTTCTTCCTTCTTATTTGATACGGATATTCAGTGTTTATTTCATAATCTTCATCAGCTACTAATGTTTCCCAGTTATTTTCCATCTTTTTATAAAAATAAAAAAATCAGAAAATTAAAAATTAACTAGTTTTATTTTTATTCATCACCTCCATCAGCAGCTAAATTATAATCATCAATTCTAACAGCAGGAATGCCAGCTGGTCTGACTTGAATAGCGAAACAAGCATTTCTAAGAAATCCTAATAAAGGTTTGACACCAATGAAAAAAATAAAATGATATTTTTGCAAGAGCGAGGATGTTTTCTTTATGATTCATTAAAAAAATGAAAAAATCCCGCCAAAATTTCCCGCGAAACCGCCTCTTGTCTCAAAATTCATTTTATATCCCGGCATGGCGCCAAAATACAACATACTCATCATATACATATATTCATATTTTTTATTATATATTTATAATCAGCATATATCTCCTTTAATAGTCTCATATAGAGCGCTGTGCTAAACGCACCTTTGGACACCCTATATAAATATTTTATCGTTTTATTTTCTTGTTTTAGAAATGTTTTTTATTGAAAAATCAATAAAACTAACTCCAAAATAAAATTTTTGATTTAAAGACACTATGATGACACCAGGCAAATCTTCCAAGACACCTATCGTCGGGAATCTAACAACCCTATCATATATATAGTTCATTTATAACTTTTATACTATCTATTGTGTGATAATTAGAACTAGCTCTAATATATCTATATTATATCATTATTCCATTACAGAATAGAGTTTTTCACGAATTCTCAGGAAAACAATTGAGCTGCGGAAGCTTTTGTCATTTTAACAATACGAGATCGTTTAATTGCAGTATTTCTTTTGGGGCCAAAGCATTTTTCCTGATAATAGTAAGAAAAATGATTAAAATTGTAATTATTTTTGGAATTTTTGGTATTGACAATTGCAGTTCCCGATTTTGAATATGTATCAAAATATGAATCTGAAATTGTAAAAGTATCACCCTCATAACCCCAATTTCCAAACATGTAAACAGCATTGTTATTTCTAAATATACAGTGATCAATATTAGTTTTGTAAGTGTTTTCAAATAAAACTTGTTTATTATTTTTTCCGCATTTATTTCCTATAGCATTGCAATATGAAGCTGTCCTTATACATGAATCATAATAACTAAAAAATGCAAACGAACGACTTTCTGTCTGAGTATTTTCTCTGAATGACGAATATTTACATATACCAGGACCTCCTGAAATGCCACTTGAGATCGATGCTTTTTCTCTATTTTTGTTGTTTGTGATGTTGCTATTATAAAAACGTTGTTCGCCATGCGACATTTCTAAAGTTTTATCTGGGACTGTTACACTATCAGCACATCTAACACATGTAACTTCATATACATAATTTTTATTGGATGTTCCAAACTTAACATTTGAAGAAAATGCCATGGCACTAGTTGATGATACAGATGCAAAATAACAATTTCTCTGTTGTACTAAATGCCCTTCTCCTTTGCAATTATAGCAAAAAGATCCGCCTTCATCTGTGGAACTGCATTTGTAAAATATACATTCTTCAACCATTGTGGAAATGGCGTATTCGCTCTTAATGTAAATTGCCCCATATGATTTGCATTTTTTAAATAAACAATTAAAAATGTAATAATTTTTATTACATGTATCATCAAATAGAGCTTTATTATTAGTCTTACTGTTTTTTACTTGATTACCAAAAAATTCAGACCAGCTGAATTTTTTTGATATTTTCAAGTATGATATTCATTTGGGCGTATATCTATATATTAATTGCATTTAGTCTGTCTATAAAAACATTTTCCCCGTTTTTATTTTGATTTACATGACTCAACTATTTGGAAAATAATTTGATCATATTACTTCAATAATTAAGGTTGTCAAAAATTATGGGCTTTGGTATATTCTATAAATTATTCGTATAAACTCATCAAAAAGATATTTAAATGGGAGATATCTTTCAATGATCTAGGTTGTAAAAAACGGTAATTTATGTTATTTGAAAAATTTCTTTGGTAATCATATTCTGTATCTCCCATTAATAATATCATAAATAATTGGACACGGTTCTTCATCATTCTTGACATTTAAAGAAATCCACATTAAGTGACAGAATAAAATGACTAGAACAATCCCACGATCTAGATACGTCATTACACCATCATTTTGCCATCTGGGCTCGATTCTACTTGCTTTTGGATCATCTCTATCGAATCTATATTGAAATTCTTTTTCATCCATTGAGATATGTTTTTCAACTAAAATTTCGATATATTTATCAGCTTGCATAAAGAATATCTTTTCATAAATCGGATGCATTCTTATTATTCTTAAGAATATATATAAATATAGACCATATTTGCTTGACATAAAATTGATGATTTTTGAATATTTTTTATTAAAGCAAACCAAGCGTGTATCGGAATTATCATACACAAATCTATCAAAATCTTTAATATTACGAGATTTGTTTTGAATATTCTGATAAAAACGATTGAATTTTTCTTTTGTTTCTTCATTCATTATATATTTTTCTTTTAACAGATAAATGACTGTTTCATTTTCATCATATGAGATATTTAAAGGTTGGAATTCCCATGATCCAAAATTAAAATTGTACCGACCTGCGAAAGTTTCAGTATCACCCCCTTCACTAACATACGTTCTTGATATAGCATGATCGGAAATCATTGGTTGCTGAGAAAGGAATGAATTAACATATTCCTCATTATTAATATTGCGGATCATACTGAAGAAAGTTTTTGCGCCTGGTATTGAAACTACAACTAACACTACCAATAGAAAAGCGAACACATATAAATATAGGAACTCGCTGGATCCATCTTGAATAATGGTCATTGACTTTTTGTAAAAGTGTCAAACTTTTTGGAAATTTTATTCTTATTATTTCTTTTTCACTTCACATCATTCATTCTTTTCATCGAATATTATATGACATATAATACAAAGTATATGACAAACAAAATGGAACTAAAAAATCAAATAAAGAATTCCTTATACTTTATAAAATTTACATGTCAAAATGGAATTCCTTTTCAATGTTTATAAATCGCCACCTAAAAGCTTGCCCATTCATTAAAAAACACACATTTTCCATGATACATAATATTTAGAACATCCAACACCTTTTTGGAGTATTGTTTTTCATAAATTCTCAGGAAAACAACTCAGCTGCGGAAGGCTTTGCCATTTTACAATATAGATCTTTGAAAAATTTCTTGAATTAGTAAGAAAATTCGGTTGTACATAAGCAGATATATCGAATCACATTTTATATTTGAAGCTAAATATCTAGAAACAAGTTTTATAATATGAAGTAATGAAAAATTTGGGATGAATTTGCGCGAAATTCTTAGTTGGAATTGAAAAATTTGCAATATTGTTACTTGAAATGCTAAATATTTGACAAAAAATGATTGTGAGTCGATTGTCATGATTGCAATTGCAATAGAATTATTATAGTGAATTTGGAAAGATGGAAAATTTTTAAAATCTCTGTAATCCGGAACAAGTTTTATATATGAAGTATTGTGTATCATACCCATATAAAATAAAAACTATCTTCAGTATCATACAGGTCAGGTAAGTGGGGCTTCCAGGCGCGTTGCGCCCTCTAGCCCATAAGAAATTTTGCCCAAGACCCAAGAGGAGGACCGAACCCCAGCCGACCAGCCAGTGACAAAACCAAAACCGTTGTTATTTACATCATATTAATGATGTCACTTTTTAAAATGTCACTTTTTGTGTCACTTTTCACAAATTATATATGTTTTCATGTTTTGTCACTTTTCTATCACTTTTCGGGTAAAAACATTTTTATTATTATATATAAATGAATTTTACAAAACCGCCGTTACCGTTCTTTGGAAATAAGAGTAAATGTAAAGATATTGAGAGAAGTTAAGAAACTACCGAATGGTCTAATATTTGTAGATTTGTTCGGTGGAAGTTTCTATATATCCCATTTATGTCATACCGTATTTCCTGACTCAAAGATTATATGCAATGACTTCGACAACTATATGGACCGTCTCAAACATATTCCAGACACAAATAATATATTGAAAGAGTTAAAAGAAAAGATACCTATAGGTAAGATGGAACGTATACCATTAGATAAGAAAAATATTGTGAGAGAGGTTTTGAAAAAAGCAGAATATATAGACTGGGATAGTATATCTGCTAGACTATTATATAGTGGTTCTATAAGAGTTCATGACATTGAAACACTTATGTCAAAAGTTTTATATCTTAACTATACAAATGTTTTCAAAGAGGACATAGAAAAATATATTGAGGGTATAGAGTTTGTGAGATGTCATTGGACAGAGTTGTATGAAAAATATAAAGACAAGGAAAATGTTTTCTTTATAATGGACCCGCCGTTCTATAACACATGGGATTTTCAATACCAAGTAGACTGGACTTTGAGAGACTCTTTAGAAACTTTAGACGTTATACATAACCATCCATGCTTTTACTTTACATCCGATAAAAGTGATTTGGAAACCGTTATGAGATGGTTAGAGGACATACATGACTATGAGTTTATATATGACAAGATAGAATATGAGAGAGGTCCTATAAACTGGAGAAAGTGTCACAATAAAGAAATTTTATTAGTAAGTAAATGTGGTTTGAAATAGGACTACTTGTTTTAGGTTTTTTCCATTGTGTCATTTATTTATTTGACGTGGCAGAAAAGTACAGAGAATATGAAGATGAACCAATGTCTGCAAATGTTCAGCATATGTACTCGTAAGAGATATTTTTATCTAATATTAAATGGACGCACAGAACTTAGCGAATGCACAGCAACCTGGACAACCAAACCCAGAGAATATTCCAAATGAAGTTAGAATACAAGCTGCAATGGCAAACTATGGTCAAGTGCCAACAGATGTACAAATGCAAACTGCCATGTCAAATGACGCTGCGTTAGGTTTGCCACCATGGTATGCAAATATGAGATGGAAAGAGTTTTATACAAACCCTGAAGCATTGAGACAAATGAGTTCAAGATGGATTTGTCGGCTTCCAGCATTTAAACCGATACCATATAGTCAGGCTCAGCATGTGAAACTGAATGATATTATTAAAGGAACCATCCCACCTCCACAACAACAACCAGTTGAAAACAAACCAAACTAAAATTTTTTACTGAGATGAAATGACCGAAGAAGTTGAAACGGTAGATTTGACACCACAAACAAAAAGTTCAGAACCATTGTCAAAACCTGTCAAAGAACTTACAGATGAAGAGAAAAATTCAATAATAGAAAGTGCCAGGTCTGGAAATACAAACCCTAACTATAAAGTCACTTTTCATAGAAATGGAACGGCTAGTATCTCAAAAAAGAAACAGACTCTCACAAATAAAATATTGAAGTCTGAAGGAGCTTTCGAGACAACAGATGGAAAAGTTTACTTCACTGACCAACAGTTCATTATAGAACATCTCATTGACTTAGAGTCGAAATATTCTAAACTTTACAACAAACACAAAAAGTTGAAAGGAAAACAAAAACAAATGGCATATGATATTTATGAAGATGTTGACGACACAACTGTTCCTGCAAGTGAAGTAAAGTCAGAGGAACCGAAAAGTGACGAAAAACCGATAGAAGAAGAAAAACCAAAAACTGAAGATAAACCAAAACCAAAGTTTAGTTTCCAAACTAAACCAAGTCAACCTTCATTAGCTGGTATGGGTTGGCGTCAAAGACTTATGGCAGCAGGCGGTTATGTAAAGTAAAGAAAAAAATATTTTTTTATTTTTATAAAAATGCCCCCATATAGAATGGACAGAAAGTCTGCTAGAATAAAAGCAGAGTTACAAAGATATGGTTGGAGAGTTTCGAAGAAGTTTAAATATAGGAAGGGAAAGCCAATAAAAGTCTATGACAAACTGGCTGGTCTGACCTACGAATTAGATTTGGAAACAGCACGTGCCAATTATCCAAACAGACTAGAGAGGTTAGAAGAAGAACGTCTTATGGACATGCCTTTCGATGTTAGTGAACCTCAGGTTGAAGGACACGACGGCTTTGCCAGATTCTACTGGAAACATGACGAACAATTACATCCTTTAAGAAGGAAAAAAGGTAGTGCAGAGGATGGTCATGCTCCTATGGAAAGAACAAGATATGCATATGAGAAGTACCGTGAAGTTAGAAGTCAAATTACTTCTGGTCGAACCTTTACAGTAAACTTTGACGAAGGAAAGAACAAAGAAGGCTTCATGGGTGTACTTGCTGCAATTCAAGACGGAAATAAGAAAGGACACAATCTCAGATTGACCATAACAGATTTGGATGGTCACATTTACTATGCACATGGCAATGAACAAACAGCCGCAAAACTTCTTGACGCTTTCAAGACTACAAAGAGAGAACAAATGGTTGACTCCGACTCAGACATTTTGAATGCAATTGAAGGAATTGCAAGTGTCAAGTTCGAATGGTACCAACCTAACCCTCAAGTAGTGAGACAACATGCTGGATACTTCCCCTTCATAAATAAGTCTGACATTGACTTGACAAGGTATGGAATTTACAATTCAATTGAAACAATTGTCAACGAACCTTGCATTCTTACATGTCTCAGGAACTCTGGTCTTGTTACAGATGAGAAGATGAAGTATCTTGAGTCATGTGTGAAGACAAGGTACATTCTCAGAGGTCAATTGGCAAAAATTGCACCGTTGGCAAATGTCAATATCCGAGTCAACATTCCGACTGAGAAAGGTTCTTCACATGACGACTATGTTGTTGACAAAGACTTACCATGGTTGAAGATTGTAATTGTCCACAACCACTTCATGTTGAACGAAAGTCTTACAAACCCATTCTTTGGTAAAAGTAAGTGCAACATTGTCAGAGCTGTCAACATTCTTTTCGAGAAAGGTTTGTTGGAACCAATTCCAGATGACAAGCTGACAGAAACTTTTGTACCAAAAGACGAAACAAACTTTTCATTGTTAGCAAGACCAAAAGTTGTTCCAGACAAAGTTCTAGTACAAAAGAAGTACACAGTTCCACAAGGAGTTGGTTTGTTCGGATACCAACCTGAACCAGAAGAACTTCCAATGAGGTTGCAAGAACTTCAAGATGCTATAAACAAACTTCCATTGAGACATCCAATTGACGTCAGATTGTATTGGAGAGCATCTGAGTTAGGTCAGAAGGTTTTATATGAAACAGGTTGCTTCGACGATGTTTATGAGATAACAGGAGAAGTTTCTCAGAAGATAAGAGACTCACTTGAATTTCCACAAACTGGACCAATTGGTTGCGACAAGTTCGACTCAGATGAAAAGATATACTATGTCGACCTTAACGCTGCATACATGAGGTTTGTCCAATATATTCCGACTGGAATTCCAAACGAAGATGGTGAGTTCCCGGGAAGGAACTATACAGTTGGAAAAGTCATACTCTTATATACGAAAAAAAGAGATCTGACATTGTGTCAGATCTCAGTAAAAGTGACATTTACATGTCAAAAAAATAGAATGAGTTTAAGTAATTAAAATTGAGGGTGAGAGTAGTATTGTATGAAATAATATCTCTCACCCTCCAATTCATCCTATGGCGCCGAAAAAATTTTGGTGAAATGCGACCACATTTCACCAAAATTTCTCGGCGCCATATAGAGAACTAGAGCCTGTGAGGTACTGATACTATCCATGTACCTCGCAGGCTCTAGTTCCAAGCCAAAATGGCTAAAAATTGCCCGCAATTGTTCACATTGCGGGCAATTTTTAGCCATTTTGGCTGGGAATTGGAGGGTGAGAGTAGTATTGTATGAAATAATATCTCTCACCCTCCAATTCATCCTATGGCGCCGAAAAAATTTTGGTGAAATGCGACCACATTTCACCAAAATTTCTCGGCGCCATATAGAGAACTAGAGCCTGTGAGGTACTGATACTATCCATGTACCTCGCAGGCTCTAGTTCCAAGCCAAAATGGCTAAAAATTGCCCGCAATTGTTCACATTGCGGGCAATTTTTAGCCATTTTGGCTGGGAATTGGAGGGTGAGAGTAGTATTGTATGAAATAATATCTCTCACCCTCCAATTCATCCTATGGCGCCGAAAAAATTTTGGTGAAATGCGACCACATTTCACCAAAATTTCTCGGCGCCATATAGAGAACTAGAGCCTGTGAGGTACTGATACTATCCATGTACCTCGCAGGCTCTAGTTCCAAGCCAAAATGGCTAAAAATTGCCCGCAATTGTTCACATTCCCATCTTTTGTTGGTAAGACGAAGAATATGAAATAAATTATGAAGAAGATAATGATGAATAAAATATCACTTTTTATATTTTTGACACGTAAAGTTGTCACTTTTCTGTCAAACTGTTTTTATCGTTTTCGTATATAACAATACAACAACTCTATGATATTAGGAAAGCTTCAAACCCCAAACTTGCAATGACACTCAAATTGCTTATGAATTCGACATGGGGATATTCCATTAAGAAACCTCAAGAGATGAAGAGTAAACATTATGAGAAGGTCGACAACTTTGTTGAAAGGTTTTCTCCTTTTGTTTTGAAGTACGAATTCACTCAAGGTCAAAGTGGCTTAGTAACCACATTAAAACCTATTGTCGAACATTGGTCTTACCATCAGTTCGCAAAGGCAGTACTTGACAACTACAACAAATTCTTCTCCGAAGTCAAATCGAAAGTCAAGGTTTACTATGAGAACATTGACACACTCATGACGAACGAAGAAGGCTATAACAAACTCATTGAAATGGGTTTAGTCGGTGAAAAGATGGGCTGTTTTAAGCTAGATAAGGTATTTTCCGAAGTTCATATCCTCTCCAAGCGTAAGTACTGGGGTGTTAAAGAAGATGGTGAAATAGTTAAACATTGCATGAAGTAAAAACGTTTTCAAAAAAGTGACATTTTTTTAATGGCGTACATCCCTGAGTGCTTCGTCCAGTTCAACCAAATGTTGGTGTTGGTACCAGGCAAGAGATATTCCAGGCTCGAACTCAACCGTCTCTTCAAAGAATGGATTGAAGACTACAGAGGAGACGAGTGGTTGACAATTGAATTTGCTCGGGCTTGGAATTGCTACAGAAGGGTCTTAGACGTGGACCCAAGACTCACGTACAGAGGTTGAGATGTGGTCTTCACATTCCAAAATTGGTACCAATACCAAAAATAAAAACTTAAATTTACTTGGGGTTTCCCCCTAAAATAATTTTTTTTACTCTTAGAACCACTCGAGGTTCTCCTTACGGTTGTTGAGCTTGTCACCGTCAATGTGTCTGACCTTCGTCTTCTTGTCTGGATTTGGAACCCATTGAATTGCGACAAGCTTGCCCATGGAGATTGAACCGCGATTCCGAAGGTTAAGGTTCAAGTGTCCCAAGTTGTTGAGGACTGGGGTAAGAACCTTGCCTGTCTCCTTGTTGCGGATTTGGTATGGGTAGGGTTGGGAAATTTCGTAACCGTCATCGGCAACAAGGGTTGCCCATGTAGCGGCTTCAGGAACTTCTTCGTGTTTCTCTTCTTCCTCTTCTTCCTCTTCTTCCTCGACAATTCCTTCTTCAATTTGGTACTCACGAAGTACGGTGTTGCATGTTCTGTCCTTTCCGAGTACCTTCCAGATGGCGTCTATCTCTTCGAAGAAACGGTAGATGAGTCTGGCAAGGTCTCGGTTCTCTCTCTCGTAATTGCGCAAGGTTTCCGCGAAATCGTTCAGGCATTTCTCATTGGAAGCTTGGTTCATGAGGACATCGGCTTTAAGTTCCTTCATCTCTGTCATAAGACTACTTTGGAGAGTCTTAATGGTGTTTGTCAGATGAGCTTTCAATTGGGCAATTTGAATTTGAACTGGGCGCTTGTCTGGCAACCTTGAAAGGACATCTTCCATTGAGTTTGGCTTCGGTGCTTGTTCGGACATCGAAAAAATGAAGTGGTTTGCGAATGACGGTTTTACTTCAAAAAGCTGGTTATGACAGTTAAGTCATACAACAAGTTTAAAATAATATCTTGCTCTTCTTCTGAACGTTTGTTGTCTCTTCCGATAAAAGTTTCGAACATGAGAACCAAAAAACGTTTTTTGAGGAACCGAAAGAGTTCAGGCAAATTTTTATATTCTGGATATGTTGGGAGCAGTTCAAAACATCTGAGCTGACTTTCGGACAAAATTGGGACAATGTCAGAAAATTCATCTTTGGTCGGACTGCTTGAAGGTAAGTCCCTTACATGTAAGTAGCTCTGGTAAAGTCTTCTCATTTCTGCTAACTTTTGGAGTATAGCTTCGTAGTTTAGAAGTTTCAATTTTAATTGTCTTATTCCACTCTTTACTTCTAAACGGTAAGTATCCATGAGGTCAAGAGTAGCTTTGGTAGCTTTAAGTGGAGCTATCTGTTCCTTGACTTGTGCAATTTTGGTTGCAATTGTGGTTTGAGCTCCTTCAAGTTCGCCGTCTATGTCGTTCTCAACGCCTTCAACCATGGCTTGAAACTCTTCATCGGTCCATTGAGATTGGTGTGGGACGAATTTAACTTGCTTCATTCAAAAAATGAAAAAAAATGTTTTTACTCTAAACGTGCCATGTATATGGCTATAAGTGCTTTGTTATATGACTTCTTCTTCACACGAGTCTCTGGTAACTTGAGAGTTCTTGTTGGAGTTGGGTCTGGAATTTCAATTCTCTCTCGAGCGCGCATTCCCCACTGTCCTTCTTGCCACCATAAACTGTGTATTGACCGAACTTGCATTTACAGGAAGACCGGTCAATACAAGGTTCACAGTTGAAATAGTTGTACTCATACCTGGTGAGTACGAGTGTGAGTAAAAACATAAAAAAAGTGAGTTAAAATGAGATGTTTACTGAACTGGCTGAATGTCGCCTTCTGTAGTTATAAAGAATGGTTGACCAGAGAAGTGAAGGAGAGACTGAATTGCCAATTTCATATGGGGTAGGGGGTTCTCCTTGTTTGGTATTTTTATCCAAGGACGTTTGTTTAGGAACTTAACAAGAGCTTCTCTTTTGGCGTACTTTATGCCATCGTAGGCTGTCCCGTCTGGTATTTGAATTGGAATTCCAGTCGAAGTCTCGAGCTGAAGTGTAGACCTTCCAGAAATAGTGATGAACTTGACCTTGGGCTTCATTACCTTGCGCAAGTAGTCTTTTACGCAGTCGTTAAGTTCAATGAGGTAAATTGCCTCGTCAAGTCTTTCTTGCATTCCAAGTTCTTCCATCCGACAGGAAAATATTTTCCCGACAAAGGGAAAAATTTTTCCCGACGACAGGAAGAACTCTTCCAGTTGTCCGTCCGTAAACCATTCAAATTTTCGAAATTTGAGAACTTTTTGGTCGAACTTCAGAAAAAGTTTTTCCTTCCGACAGAAAAAGTTCTTCCATCCGACAGGAAAAATTTTTCCTTCCGACAGGACACAAACGGATGACTGACGTTCCTCTTCCTGAATGCCTTCCAAAGCCAGAAGAACCGAAAGCTGCAGAACCACAACAGTCTCCTCAGCAACCTCAGTTCCAGCAAGTACCTCCGAATTACTACCAATTTCCACCTCAAGGTTACTACCCACCACAAGGCTTCCCGAACTACCCTCCTCAGCCTATGCCTTACTTCCCCAACCCTTGGTTGTTCCAGCAAGCTCCACCCAGCAATTCCAATTCCAATCTCAATCGAAAAGACCAAGACTTCGAAGAAGGTCTGAACCGCTTACGCAAAGAGTATGCTACAGTTCCAATGGAAGACGACAGGCTTTCAGTCTCTTCCCTCAAATCGACCGATTCGACTCGTACACAGATTCGGTTCGTGACCGTGAAGACTACCTCAAGCAGTCTGAGAGACTCTTCATCCTACAACCATTTACAGTTGGAGCTCTCAAGAACATGCGCAATTACGAAGGTCAGACACCAGCTGGAGACCGCAAAACAGACGTACTCGCAAGAGCCGTCCAGCTCGTCAAAACAAAGACGGAGATAGTCGACTTCATACTTGCAGCTTGCCCTTACAAGTAAAAAAATAAACAATTACGAATTAAACTTTTTACTCTTTCTTTTCTGAGTTGTTTAGAGCTGGTTTCTCTTGTAGAAACCTTTCGTACTCTTCCATGGTCATGTAATTGCGAATTTGGTACGCAATTCCAGGTTCGTTGTTTTTGAACCTGATGTATGTAACGCTTCCATCCTCCTCAGGGAAGTAAGCTGCTAACATCTGACCAAGTTTTCTCGGTGACTCGGAGCTCATAAAAATGTCACTTTTTAAACGTTAAGTTTTTAGTCTTAATTTACCCTTTGTTTGTCAAGGTAGTATTGGAGTGCAATTTCTCCAAATTCTCTGTGTCGGAGTTCTTCAGCATTTTCCAAGGTGTACCTGGAGAACTCAAAGAAGTTGTCAAGAGACATACTGCCATGCTGCTCTTCTGAGTTCGTCGGTATTTTGGAAGTGTTGCACCTTCGAGTCTTCGGACATGAAAAAAATGACACTTTTTCTATTAAACCGTTTTGGCATTTCTCATGAGTGAGTATAGTTCTGCCGAACTATTGGAAGAGAAGAAGTACTCTTGCTGGCAAAAGACAAAAATAGTTGCCTTAGTTGTCATTGCAATTGTACTCGTAATTGAATTCATTGTACTTCTCTTCACGTACATAAAACTCAGCAATGGTATTTGCTTTAAGAAGCTACCATCTTACTAAGACTAAACACTTAGATTTTTCAAGCTTGACTTTTTACAATTTGAACTTTGTTCGCATAGATATGAATTCTGAAAGAAGTATGAGGGTCTTGTATGACTTTATACTTCTCCCAGAGTTCATGTCTGTCAAACTTACCTGCCATGGACTCTTTCATAAGTTCCATGAAATCGTCTTCGGACAATCCGGGGAAAAGTATTATGTCAGTAAGTATTCTTTTAACATCCTTACTTAAACTCTTTGCTGTCTGTACACAAATGACAACTGAGATGTTAAAGTGTCTGAGCTTCTTAAGAATTCGACACATATCTTGTTCTCTGTTCTTTAACAAAGGATGAGAAGCAAAGTCATCTAAAATAAGAAGACATCTATGAGGGTAAGTCTTCCAATCGTACGATTGCAATTTCTTCGAAATGTATTCTATCTCTTTCTGTTTGTTTCTGAAGTGTTTCTTCTCTAATATTCTCTGCATTTCCTCATTTGGGTCTTTGAACTTAGAATTTATATACTCATTTATAGCATTATACTTCAAAACTCTTCTTTGGTACTTCTTTATCCAATCTAACAACTCAGTATCCTTTATACATACTAACTTAGACTTCTTTATAATATCTTTGAACGAATTGACGGTTTGGTCAAATTGACCAGAAGTCGAACAAATAACAACTAACTCATAGAATGGGTTCTTCTCATCTAGTTCTTGTTGTTGTGCAGCCATTTTAAGATAAGTGAAAGTCTTACCAGACCCAGGTGGTGCAATTAGACCTGTTATACCATTCTGAGCAAATAAGAACTTTTCATGTATAGGCTTTATCTGAGCATTTTCTAACTTCCTCTTGTTCTTATTTAAAACATTCTCAAATTTCTTGTCAATGTCAGCAAACTTTTTTTCTAACATATTTTTAGAAAAATTAAAATTTTTATCTTTTAGAAAATGTCTAGCAATTTCGCTATCTATATTCGAGACAAGCTTTTCGACAGCAAAACATCTGTCGACCATAAAATCTTACATAGTGTAAACAAGAAAGGTGAATTTGTTCTAAAGTTCTGTTTCTGGGAATATGACAAGAACCATAAAACATTACAAAGAGCAGTCTTAAAATTTGTCAATGACAGACTTGTTGACAGAGATGACGCCGATTGGAAAGATGAAGTCCAACAAAAGTTCTTAGAATGCAAAGAAGACACATGCGCTGTTCTTGAAGATGAAATAGAAAACAAATAGATGAGCTATTAAAGGACAAAGAACTTTTACATAGATATGGTTCTGAGAAATTTGACATATCTCCACCAGAGAAGAAGAAGAAAGAAAAGAAAGAGAAAAAGTAGAAGAGAAGAAAGAACCTGAACCAGTTCCAGAGAAAAAAGAATTTGACATGTAAAAATAAAATTTTATTTTTAGAACATTTCTGGGTCAATGTCAATGTTCTCTTCCTCTTTAGGAGTAAACACTGGCTTAGACTCTAAAATCTTTTTACCCAATTTACCTTGAACTTCTACAACTTTAGACTCATAATATTCATAGTCGTCTGTCTTCTTTGGTTCATAAGGTATAACAAGTTTGTATGCTTTGCCTTCTTTAAGGTTTGAGAACCTTCTGTCAAAACTTTCTTTGACTGTTAACAAACCTTCTATGTCTAAGTCTTCAAATTTCGCACCATTTTTAGTCACAACAGCAAACTTAACTGGTTCGATGTTCCAAACTTTGCTGAATGAAGACTTTTCAAAATGGTAGAAGTAAACATTCAAATATGTGAATGGGTCTAGTTCTTCTTTAAGTCCTGACATGTACTTGTTGACTGAGATGAATTTTGTCATCTTTTCTATCGGATAAAAAAATATTTTTTTTTAAAATTTACTCAGAAAAATTTTTCTTTGTATATACACCATTCTGAACATCTAAAAGACTTTTGACATTTGCCAAGAATGTTCGTTTAGACGCTGGCATATAACCATACTCTTGACAATATTGTTTATACGAATCGTACAATGACCTTTCATCTAAACACTCAAAGTCGCTTTCTTCTATGAACAGTTCATATACACTCTTGTTTGCTTCTAACAATGTTTGTCTCTCTTCGGTATGTGGAATTTGTCTTGGATTGAACTTTGAAATATCTAATGTCATGAAATATGAGAACAAGTGGTTGTAAAAGTCAGATGTCAAAGTTTCTGCTAAGTCGTCAAAATATTCTGTATCTTGCATATGAGCTTCTGACGTTCTGACAACTACATATCTTCTGTCAGAACTTTCTAACTTCATCGGAACAGCATTGTTTGAAACCATAATGAAGTTTGCAACATTCTCACAAACTCTTGAGTCTTTATACTTTCTTTCAACAACTCAAACTTTATCTGTTATAAGACTCTTCAAAGCATCTGAGTTTAAAACTTTTGTTGTATCTATACTTTGAAGTTCATTGCAAACTATAAGTTTCATATTCTCTATTGAGGAGTTAAACTTGCCACAGATGTTTTCTAAGTTTGTCATATTCGGATTCGAATAACCTTCTAACAGTTTGCACAAAATATCTGTAAAGAAAGTATTCTTACCAGTTCCTTGTTTTCCAATTATAATGAGAGCAGTTTCATTTTTAGCACTTGGATGTTGTAAGATATTTGCAAACCAACATAAGATATACTCATAGACTCTTTTGTTTCCATTGCATATAATTTCTTTGACATGGTCTAACCAAGCTTCTATAATACTGTGTTTCCATTCTACTTGTTCGTATTTATATCCAGTGAAGATAGAATAGAAGTTTGGAGAAGGTGTATAGAACTTTATACCTCGAACTGAAAAATCTTCTAACTTTGACAATAAGATATCCCAAGCATCTAACATCTTCATTCCAACTTGTACAACTTTTATTTTCTTAAGTTTCTGTCTACATTCTTGTTCAGACACTATTGTTGCTCTTGGTTTGTTAAAGACAACATCCCATTCTTTCATGACATAACATTCTGGGGCAGAGTCAACATAAATGACTAAACGTTTCAAATTCTCGACTGCTTTGTTATAGTCTCTAAATGGACACATATTTCTGAATGCTTGGAAGTCATAAAAATCTGAAACATCTATTCTGTACATTTTTATAAAAATAAAAAAATATTATTTTTTTATTCTTGACTTTGTTGTTCCATTTGTTGCATTTGTTGTTCTTGAGCTATTTGTTGTTGAAGTTGTTCTTGTAATACAATACTTTCACCAGTTGCATCTTCCAATTCGAAACTTTCTGCCGTCATTGACAAATACATAGGACATAAAAGTTTTACAGGAACAAAGTTTGCGTCAACTATGTCAACGTTATACTTGCCAAAGTGTTTGAGTTCACTAAGGTTGAAAATTCTGCATTCGAATGAACAATAGGCAAACCAGCAGAGAAAGTATTGTTTTATACGCATAAGTATCTTTTGGTCATAATAGTTTCTGTCGACATTCGAATAACACTTTGAACCTAAGTTTGAAACAATATATAAGATTGGTGTGCTTAATGTCAATGGAATAGACATTCCTTGTATGACACCTTTTTCCTGTTATAGGAAACTGTTGGTAGTAAAAACCAGAAATAAGTTTTGTATTATAGCTCATATCATTATAGTAAACTCAGTCGGACATCCAAACATAATGAAACCTGCTCTAGTTGCAGCACATGTTACACCCGTACTTAAAGTATTAAATAAGTCAACAAAACCTGTTGGTGGTATATCTGAGTAAGTATCTTCAAAGGAGTATTTTTTACCATTCACAACAATAAAGTCTTCTGGTGTCAAAAGAGCAAAACAGGCTTTAGTCGTCATTGTGTTTAAGGTTAGTTTACAATATCGTCCTTGAGGACTTTGTAAGTTTGTTGTTATAGAATTATATGACTCAGGGTTTTTAGTCGTAATAGTATAAAATTACCATTATGTCTTCTGCCATTTACTTAGCAAATAAATTTTAATGAAATGTTGTGGTCGTCAAATATTTTTATAACGTCTGGGAAACTATATTTTAAGTTCAACGTTTCACCTCCTTTCATAACGTATATCTTGTCAATGACATTATATGAAACACCACAGCAACCAATGTCGGGTTCTATTTCTTTGATGTTTATATCGTCTGCTCTGTCAAAAGTTTCAATAGTTTCTTTCAAAACTTCATGAGGTGCAATGACATATGAGTTCACTTTTACAGGGTTGTGTTCGACCAAGTTTAACATTATACTTAAAGCTTGACAAATCTTCTCCTGAGTTTGAAGTTTGTCTTTCAGTTGTTGGTAGTCGTTTCGAATATCTGCAACAGAACTTAAGTCTCTGTTAACTTCAGGATATGTTGGTTCTTTTACAGGAACAATTGTTATACCATCTTCGTCTTCGTATGGTTCCCCACTTCAACATCTCTGTCTTTGACATTGACAATAACACTTTGACTGTTTGTTTGAGTTGGTGAATTTAACTTCACATCTGCCACCGCCATTAAACCTTTTGAAACACTTACGCTTCTATTTTTCGGAAATGACATTTTACTTAGAATAAAAAGATGGACGTATTCGGATATCTTATTGAATTGAAGCAGAACAAAGTTTATACTCACAAACAATACAAATACATTGACAGAATAGTTCTTTACACAAACAATGGAAATGTTATAGAATAGCAGTCTTTGCTGAACCTAAATATTTTCATAAAGCAAAGAAAGTTGGTATAACTGAAATGGTGAAAGTTCTTGAAGCAGACAAAAATATAACTTCAAAAACTTACAGATATTACTAAAGGAAAGTTTATAATACAATATTATGTCAAAACTGGCGTACTGTCAATATTTGACGGAGAGAAGTCAGTTCAAGAACAACTTACTGACCTGCTGCCAAAATCTGCTCGATGAAGCTGTCGTTATGCCAATCTGAGGAGCCCCAGCAGGTTTCATCGAACGAATCTTCAAAGAGCATCTTCCGTGAAAAGTGCTATTGGTTTTGTAAACTTCTTTGCTCTCAATTCATCTGGACCGTCTCTGTCACCAGTATATTGTATTTGAACTGTACAACAGTTGAAATACCACCCATAAAAGTCTTCTGAGTCAGCAAATGGAATGCCAAGCCAAAAGTTTGAACGGTCTCCATTTGTATATTGAGTTTTTTGACCTCCTGTATGAGTCCATACTTTCACATATGGCATAATAGAACTTTGCATTTCAGGGTTAATGGTTGTTGTGAAGTTGTTGTTAAAGTTCATAGCATCTAATGTCAAGTTGTATGACCTCATATCCTCAACTGTAGAATATTCTTCTCTTGGATAATATTTGCCATCTATGTTTATATGATATTTAATACCAGGGTTGTAGAAACAAGAATAGTCATTTATAGTTTCGTCTGAACAGTACAAACATAGTATCTGCATGTTTCATTGCAGTTGTTAAAGCAATATCTGTTCTTGCACCTGCGGCTTCTGGATTTTGGTTTCCAACTTCACCTGCAAAGTCTTTGACAGATATTTGGTGTATAGGGAACATAAGTGGAACTGCAATATATTTGGCAGCTAAAGCATTTGAAATATCTGGGTCCAACATATAAACGGCAAGTCTGCTTTCTATTCTCTGCATTCAAACTGTTCGCATGTGAACTTAACTGGGTCCCAAGCACTTCCAGCAGCATTGAAATAATAGTTTATTTCAGTTGTTGAGTTTGAGAACCAAAGTCTAAGTCAACTTTGTCTTTGCAAAAGTCACAGAACTTGGCTCCACCAGTTCCAGCTACAGTAATGCTGAATGGTCTTGTGTTGGTGCAATGACTAAGTTATTTTTCTTGGAGTAAGTTCGATAGAAATTTTTCCTGCCCAGTTTGGCAAGTATCTTAAAAACCTGAAGATGAGGAAAGATGACAAAGGAACTCTAAGTTTCAGTTTTACTTTGGTTACTGCTGCTGCAGTTTGTCCAGAAGGTTAACAATAACTCCTGGAACGTTAGGGTCAAGTCTTCTTATTTTCTCAATAGTTGCATACTGGTCTGTTTGTTCTCTAGCTTGTTGGTTGTACTGAGTTTCTCAAGAGCGAACCATTCATAGTTTGCCCATGTTACTGTTTGAACTAAGTCAGAGTTAGAAATATCTTATATCCATGAAAACTTCTGGAGCATATTGGTATCCGACATAGAAAATTCCATTGCAACCTTTCTTGTCAGACAACTTGGCAGAAGGTTTTATTTCAATGTCTTGTTCCACGTATAAGAATGAGTTGTCAATAGAAATAATATGAAACCTGTCGCAAGCAATATCTACTGTTGTTGAAGAACCTTCTCCAAACTCACCTACGTTTCCATAAGAAACAGCAGTTGTATATTCGTAAGTTCCAGGAACTATTTCTGACCTTCTAATGGCATTGTCGCATTCGTTATACCATTCGGAAACATTTCCGTTCATGGCATCCAAAACTGTTGGCGTTATATTCTGAGCGGCGTACATTTCATATGGGTAAAAATATAGAATAGTTGGATTTTATGTCATAATAGAACCCACTCGACCAAGCTTTACTTTCTTCCTGACTGAGTTTTTAACTAACTCTTCTTTTTCCTTCATTGCCACTACTTTCACTAGATGAAGTAACTTCTTCACTACTTTCACTTTGTTCTACTCTTCTCTTCTTCTTTGGTGTCGCTTTTGGTAACTTGCCCTCTGCTTCAAGTTGTTGCATCTTTGCCTCATGTTCACCTAGTATGTTGTAAATTTCCCATGTCCTTTTTGCCTTTGGGCTCTGGTCGCCCATCTCAGGTAACCTATATCCTAGAAAGATTTTGTCATAGTTTGTATTTGAGTCTTCGCTTATTGTTTGCATGACTCTTTCCTGAGTTTCCGGTTCAAGCTCTTCAAACAGAGCTTGTCCATATGGAATAAGCTCGTTTCCAAATATATGTTTTTGTAGCCATTCTGGTTTTCTTTCCATGTAACCAATAATATCTTTTGTGAATGGGAAAGCTTTTACCCAACGTTTCAGTCTTGCGTCATTTATTTCTGTAGTTGGTTTTATTTTGTCAGGAACATGTTTTTCAATACTAACATTTCATTTGGTACTGTCCATTTGAGTTTTCTTAAATATTCATCCCTTCTCAGTTCATTGTCTGCAAAGTAAGTTTTTATGACATTTTGCAAACTTTCGTTTGCAAGGTCATGTACAATAGGTTCTCTTCCTTCTCTCTCCCTAACTTTCTTTCTAAACTCTTCACCAAATATACCATCTCTATGGTTCTGTGTAGTTCTTTGAGATAAATGTTCTAGAACGTCAGGTGTTATATTTCCATCAGCCATGTTCATTTCATACTGGTCCAAAATATCTGCATCTTTCATATCTTTCAATGGCATTAAAGCCGCGCTGAAAATACCCGTTATATCTGGTTTGTTGTAAACAGAAATTCATCAAAAGTGACACCTCAGAAAAGCTAAAATATTGAATTTTTGGAACTTTTGATAGAGCACGTTTTTAAATATTAATTAAAGTAAATGTATATTTTGTAAAGATTCTTTTTAATAAAAAAATAAAATTTTGAAGAAGAACACAAAATCTTCTGAAAAATAATATCACATAAACTCATATTATTTTCTAATATTAACTATTTATATATAAAATCAAATTCAATGATCTTAAAAGCGAAGGATAACCCTCAAAATTTACGAATATAATGAGTGGGAATATAATGCTTATCTATCATAAAACCATATGAAATATCAATTTTTGCTTTACGCCTAATTTTTGACGACAATTAGCAAAAAATGTTAAATGTTAACACTCAGTCCATTTGAATATGAAAAATAAAATTGACTTTGATTAAATGTTTTTATTTATCATGCAATTCTTCTTGCGACCAAAGATTTGATTAAAATTTCAAAAATAAGATAGCTTAAAAAATAATATACGGTAGTGTTTACTAATAGATGAATAGTATATAAATTCTATTAAAATGGATTTGATCCAAAAAAATATAAAACCAAAAATAATTGTTATAATTTAAATGAAGAAGTAATTTAAAACGATTTTTATTTATGATCAAATTCTATATATTTTTTGGATCAAATCCATTTTAATAGAATTTATATACTATTCATCTATTAGTAAATGTTGTAAACAGAAATTCATCAAAAGTGACACCTCAGAAAAAGCTAAAAATTGAATTTTTGGAACTTTTGATAGAGCACGTTTTTAAATATTAATTAAAGTAAATGTATATTTTGTAAAGATTCTTTTTAATAAAAAAATAAAATTTTGAAGAAGAACACAAAATCTTCTGAAAAATAATATCACATAAACTCATATTATTTTCTAATAATAACTATTTTATATAAAAATCAAATTCAATGATCTTAAAAGCGAAGGATAACCCTCAAAATTTACGAATATAATGAGTGGGAATATAATGCTTATCTATCATAAAACCATATGAAATATCAATTTTTGCTTTACGCCTAATTTTTGACGACAATTAGCAAAAATGTTAAATGTTAACACTCAGTCCATTTGAATATGAAAAATAAAATTGACTTTGATTAAATGTTTTTATTTATCATGCAATTCTTCTTGCGACCAAAGATTTGATTAAAATTTCAAAAAATAAGATAGCTTAAAAAATAACATACGGTAGTGTTTACTAATAGATGAATAGTATATAAATTCTATTAAAATGGATTTGATCCAAAAAAATATAAAAACCAAAAATAATTGTTATAATTTAAATGAAGAAGTAATTTAAAACGATTTTATTTATGATCAAATTTTATATATTTTTTGGATCAAATCCATTTTAATAGAATTTATATACTATTCATCTATTAGTAAACACTACCGTATATTATTTTTTAAGCTATCTTATTTTTTGAAATTTTATTCAAATCTTTGGTCGCAAGAAGAATTGCATGATAAATAAAAACATTTAATCAAAGTCAATTTTATTTTTCATATTCAAATGGACTGAGTGTTAACATTTAACATTTTTTGCTAATTGTCGTCAAAAATTAGGCGTAAAGCAAAAATTGATATTTCATATGGTTTTATGATAGATAAGCATTATATTCCCACTCATTATATTCGTAAATTTTGAGGGTTATCCTTCGCTTTTAAGATCATTGAATTTGATTTTTATATAAAATAGTTATATATTAGAAAATAATATGAGTTTATGTGATATTATTTTTCAGAAGATTTCATTCTATATGCCTATGAAAAGTACTCTCAAAACTAACTTTTTCCTAATTATAATTAAATCTAGAATATTGTATTATGCTTAGTATTATTTCATTTTTCTCATTCAATTTAGAATTTACAAATGTCAAAAAATTGAGAGCTGTCACTTTTGATGAATTTCTGTTTATTACAGGTTCACCATTCACTTCCATTGCGTCTACAACTTCTTGGAATTGAGGTTGTAAGTTTATGAACCACCTATCCGGATTAGCTTTATGACCCCATCTCATTGTAGTTCCATCGTCTGCAGAAACAAAAGTAGGTTTGTTTCCATATTGGCTAGGTTCTGAATGAACTTTAAACAATGTTTCATTTCTATATGTTTTGGTGAAATTTAACCTTTTATTTTCACCGAGTTCAGCCAAAGATTGAACGTTATATGGTCGTAAGTAAAAAGGATTGTTGTATTTGCGTACACTTTCTTTCAGTTCTTCCATTCTATGCTGAATATTTTCATCTGATGTTGGAGTCTTTTGTATGTCGGCGAACATTTTTCGATATTCTTCTACTATGTCAGCCGAATTTTTCTTAGACTCTTGGAAAGATTCCATATTCCCCGCATACACTTGTTGAGGGTCAAGATTTTTCGGCTGTTCCAAATCTTCATCTAGTTCTGTGAAGTTAGTTTCCAAAGGAGGGACTTGTTCGTTTCCTTCAGGCTCTTCTAGCTGTTGTTGCTGAACTATTTCTTCCATGTCTGGTTGTATCTGAACTTCTTCCTGTTGAGTTTCTTGTACCTCATCTGCTGGCATTTCATATATTCCGAGACCGTTTTTAACAAGTTCCCTATCTAAGTCATCCGGACTCATAAACCTTTCTTCTTTCGTTCCGTCTCTATTTTTTACGCGTTTCATGAAGAGAGTTGAATTATCATTTAGCTCTGACACCAAATATCTCGGAGTAAATTCATTCATGTCATTTGGATGATATGCTATTAAATCATATCCCTTAGCGAGCTTGTATTTTCCAGGTTTGAGATTATATCCCATTTGATGCTGAACCATAAAGCTAAATAGGTTCGGGTCAGAATTTCCTTCCTTGAACTTTCTAATAGCTTCTTTATATCTGTCACTAAAGTCAAGAGTATCTGGGTAACCATAATCTTCCTTAAGCATTTTTAAGAATTCTTGGTTTCCTTTTTCTCTACTTCTTTTATGTCCTTGCTCTGTTTGTGGTTGTTGTGCTGGTTGTGGAGGTGGTTGTTGTGCTGGATTTTGAACTGTTGGTTGTTGTGTTGGTTGTTGTTGTTGTGCTGGATTTTGAACTGTTGGTTGCTGTGCTGGGTTTTGAACTGTTGGTTTTGGTTGTTGTTGTGTTGGTTGTTGTTGTGGTGCTGGATTTTGAACTGTTGGTTGTTGTGTTGGTTTTGGTGCATGCCTGTGTCTGTGTCCATGTGACGATGTAAATGTTTTAGGTAGTCCTGGTGCAGGTGCTTCTCTTGGAGGGTTTGGTGGTATATAAGTTCCACCAGCTGGCACATATGTTCCATCTGCAGCATAATGTCCTACCTGACTTTTCGTTTTTAAGAAAGCATTTACTAGGTCTGTTTTGGTCTGTTGTAACTCTTTTTCTCGACTTTCCACAACAGTTGCTCTAACGGCGTCATAGGCACTTTGAACTGCCTGTCTCGTTGCTGCATCTGTTATTTTCGTCATATTTTGTGCTATTTCTCTTAACTCTTTGTCGAAACCTTCAGACTTCAGTTTCTTTCCAGATGAGAAGTCGTTCACTAGTTTCACCTTACTATGAAGAGCTTCGAAGGCATTCTTAAAGTCAGCATTCATTAAAGCTTCATTTGAACTGTCTTCATCCGCTTGTATTTTTGTCCTTATTGACCCTATAAGTTGGGCTGCTTTAGCGTTGGCTTGGGCATCTAACCAGTCATTATTAGCTTTTATAATATCTGCGCTTTTCATTGCCTTTGCATGGCTGCGTCGTTATTTTTACTTTCTTGTGCTAAGTTTTCATACTGTACGGTTTGGTTTTGCAACTGTAAAAGTTTTTCTGCCTTTACATTTGCTTCAACTTCTTTTTTATACTCATCGCTATCCATATATGTCTTCATGGCTTTTTGTTTTATCTCTTCATCTTTCAGTACTTTATATTGAGTAGTATGGTTTTTCAAATTTATAACATCTTGTTCCATTTTTGCTACTTCTGCTGCTTTTTCTGACACTTTTTTCGCATATTCCTCTGTACTTAGTTCTTTCAGTTGTTCTTCTTTCTTCTTTTTCTCTACGTTTAACTCATTGAGTTTCTTTGTGTGTCTGTCATATTCTAGTTTCTTTTCGTTTTCACTTATTTGTTTCTGTATGTCTATGTTTGACTTTTTGACATCTGTTATTTGATTTTTGAGTGAACTCAAATTCATTTGACTTTGAGGGTTATAAGCTGTTCCGTCTGCAGCTCCACCATAGCCTGCCATTTTCGCTAAAAGTGCCGCTCTTAAACCTCCACTCTGTGCACCAAGAACTCGGTTTAAAAGCATAGGGTTGCTTGACATTTGTTGCAACATAGTGGGGTCATTCATCATTTGTTGTTGCAACTGTTGTTGTGGTGTCAGTTTTACTATTGGATGTTTCAATGCTCCCTTCCTCTTACGTATATTCTTACGTAGCTTACGTGGCATTTTAAGTGAAGTTAAAAAGCGGTTTTTGACAGATGTTTATATGACACTTTTTGTTCAGCACAAAAAACTACTCGGTCAAAGTGTTGTCAGTTTTGCAAAATAACCGTTTTATCTCATTCTATAAGGGAGAAAAGGCTTCTCAAAGTATACTTCCTTGGAACGCCTGTAACTTTTCCTGTAGCGACGATAGACCCTTATTTGTCCGGACAAAGTTATACTATTTTGAGTGCTCTACAAAAAAGTCAACGGCTGGTCGGCTGGGGTTCGGTCCTCCTCTTGGGTCTTGGGCAAAATTTCTTATGGGCTAGAGGGCGCAACGCGCCTGGAAGCCCTCCGAATAAAACTTCATTTATACTAAACATCTTCGGGCTAGAGGGCTGGGGTTCGGTCCTCCTCTTGGGTCTTGGGCAAAATTTCTTATGGGCTAGAGGGCGCAACGCGCCTGGAAGCCCCACTTACCTGACCTAATTTCAAATCAGATTTTACTTATGATAAATATTTTAAATTTCCGAAAATTAAGTTCAGATCGACTCGATACGTTGTAATTACTAAATAAGGTGCCAAAAACCTATTAAACAGTATCAAAACTATCAAGATTGTAATGGTTTTGAAGAAAAACTTATAGAATTATGAACTTCAAACAGATATTATGTAAATAAAAATAATATAATGGATTTGTTTATTCGTATAATAGCAGCAATAAGTCGATTATTCACTTCTACTTCTGAGATTTGAATTTAATTTCGACAGAAAAGGAGATTCAAGAGGAAAATACTAGGGAATACAAACTGCCACCATGACAGGATTATTATGGAGCCAAGTTGTACTTTTTGATATTTTTAGAGTTTTACTACCTATTTAGTTACCAAGTAATTGCTTAAAAATTAAGGTTCTAAATTCTGAAGTTTACATGATCCTCCCGGGCGCACCCTTAAGGCTGTACTTACGCCCATCTGATTTTAATTCAAATTTTTGACCACTGGCGTGAAGCGCCATTGAAAATTAACCTTAAATATCTGAATTGAAGGCCCTGTCATAGGGGCGTAAGTGCACCCTTAATAATTTTTTTAATAATTTTTTGACGTTGTATATTAGAAGAATTCAAATAAAAGAGTTAAGAAATGATGAAATTTAAATTATTTTTGATTAAATTACATGATCCAAAAATGAATCCCAATCTATTATAATGGCACTACTTGGCTTAGTACTGAGTGGTAGATATAATAAGAATTGAAATCGATTAGGTCTGAAGTTTGAATACTTCGGATTCTCTCCGCATTATGGGCTTGAACAAATATATATATAAATCATACATATAAAAATATAAATCGACTTTAAATAACAAAAATAAATATAAATTAAACATATACATAAAAATATAATAATTTCATTTTTCTTCTTCAATAGCTTCTTCTTTTTCTTGATTGTTTTCCGCATTTTCTTCATTTTGTTCAGTTGTTTCTGCTTCTTTTGCTTCAACTTCTTCGTTTATTATGATTTTCTCTTGATTTTCTTCATTTTCTTCCTTAGATTCAGCTTTTTCTTCATCAGCGTTTGGAGTTTCTTCAACAATTTTTTCTTCCTTGATCTCATCTTTGTGAACAATTGAGGTTTCATCTTTGTTTTCTTCAATTTCTTCTTTGTTTTCTTCAATTTCTTCTTTGTTTTCTTCAATTTCTTCTTTGTTTTCTTCAATTTCTTCTTTGTTTTCTTCAATTTCTTCTTTGTTTTCTTCAATTTCTTCTTTGTTTTCTTCAATTTCTTCTTTGTTGTCTTCAATTTCTTCTTTGTTTTCTTCAATTTCTTCTTTGTTGTCTTCAATTTCTTCTTTGTTTCTTCAATTTCTTCTTTGTTTTCTTCAATTTCTTCTTTGTTTTCTTCAATTTCTTCTTTGTTGTCTTCAATTTCTTCTTTTTTCTTCAATTTCTTCTTTGTTTCTTCAATTTCTTCTTTGTTTTCTTCAATTTCTTCTTTGTTTTCTTCAATCTTCTCTTGTTTTCTTCAATTTCTTCTTTGTTTTCTTCAATTTCTTCTTTGTTGTCTTCAATTTCTTCTTTGTTTCTTCAATTTCTTCTTTGTTGTCTTCAATTTCTTCTTTGTTGTCTTCAATTTCTTCTTTGTTTTCTTCAATTTCTTCTTTGTTGTCTTCAATTTCTTCTTTGTTTTCTTCAATTTCTTCTTTGTTTTCTTCAATTTCTTCTTTGTTTCTTCAATTTCTTCTTTGTTTTCTTCAATTTCTTCTTTGTTTTCTTCAATTTCTTCTTTTTTCTTCAATTTCTTCTTTGTTTTCTTCAATTTCTTCTTTGTTTCTTCAATTTCTTCTTTGTTTTCTTCAATTTCTTCTTTGTTTTCTTCAATTTCTTCTTTGTTTTCTTCAATTTCTTCTTTGTTTTCTTCAATTTCTTCTTTGTTTTCTTCAATTTCTTCTTTGTTTTCTTCAATTTCTTCTTTGTTTCTTCAATTTCTTCTTTGTTTTCTTCAATTTCTTCTTTGTTTTCTTCAATTTCTTCTTTGTTTTCTTCAATTTCTTCTTTTTTCTTCAATTTCTTCTTTGTTTTCTTCAATTTCTTCTTTGTTTTCTTCAATTTCTTCTTTGTTTTCTTCAATTTCTTCTTTGTTTTCTTCAATTTCTTCTTTGTTTCTTCAATTTCTTCTTTGTTTTCTTCAATTTCTTCTTTGTTTTCTTCAATTTCTTCTTTGTTTTCTTCAATTTCTTCTTTGTTTTCTTCAATTTCTTCTTTGTTTTCTTCAATTTCTTCTTTGTTTTCTTCAATTTCTTCTTTGTTTTCTTCAATTTCTTCTTTGTTTTCTTCAATTTCTTCTTTGTTTTCTTCAATTTCTTCTTTGTTTCTTCAATTTCTTCTTTGTTTTTCTTCAATTTCTTCTTTGTTTTCTTCAATTTCTTCTTTGTTTTCTTCAATTTCTTCTTTGTTTTCTTCAATTTCTTCTTTGTTTTCTTCAATTTCTTCTTTGTTTTCTTCAATTTCTTCTTTGTTTTCTTCAATTTCTTCTTTGTTTCTTCAATTTCTTCTTTGTTTTCTTCAATTTCTTCTTTGTTTTCTTCAATTTCTTCTTTGTTTTCTTCAATTTCTTCTTTGTTTTCTTCAATTTCTTCTTTGTTTTCTTCAATTTCTTCTTTGTTTTCTTCAATTTCTTCTTTGTTTTCTTCAATTTCTTCTTTGTTTTCTTCAATTTCTTCTTTGTTTTCTTCAATTTCTTCTTTGTTTTCTTCAATTTCTTCTTTGTTTTCTTCAATTTCTTCTTTGTTTTCTTCAATTTCTTCTTTGTTTTCTTCAATTTCTTCTTTGTTTTCTTCAATTTCTTCTTTGTTTTCTTCAATTTCTTCTTTGTTTTCTTCAATTTCTTCTTTGTTTTCTTCAATTTCTTCTTTGTTTTCTTCAATTTCTTCTTTGTTTTCTTCAATTTCTTCTTTGTTTTCTTCAATTTCTTCTTTGTTGTCTTCAATTTCTTCTTTGTTTTCTTCAATTTCTTCTTGTTGTCTTCTCTTCAATTTCTTCTTTGTTTTCTTCAACTGTTTCTTTGTTTTCTTCAACTGTTTCTTTGTTTTCTTCAATTTCTTCTTTGTTTTCTTCAATTTCTTCTTTGTTGTCTTCAATTTCTTCTTTGTTTTCTTCAATTTCTTCTTTGTTTTCTTCAATTTCTTCTTTGTTGTCTTCAATTTCTTCTTTGTTTCTTCAATTTCTTCTTTGTTTTCTTCAATTTCTTCTTTGTTGTCTTCAATTTCTTCTTTGTTTTCTTCAATTTCTTCTTTGTTTTCTTCAATTTCTTCTTTGTTGTCTTCAATTTCTTCTTTGTTTTCTTCAATTTCTTCTTTGTTGTCTTCAATTTCTTCTTTGTTGTCTTCAATTTCTTCTTTGTTTTCTTCAACTGTTTCTTTGTTTTCTTCAATTTCTTCTTTGTTGTCTTCAATTTCTTTGTTGTCTTCAATTTCTCTCTTGTTTTCTTCAATTTCTTCTTTGTTTCTTCAATTTCTTCTTTGTTTTCTTCAATTTCTTCTTTGTTTTCTTCAACTGTTTCTTTGTTTTCTTCAATTTCTTCTTTGTTGTCTTCAATTTCTTCTTTGTTTTCTTCAATTTCTTCTTTGTTTTCTTCAATTTCTTCTTTGTTTTCTTCAATTTCTTCTTTGTTTTCTTCAATTTCTTCTTTGTTTTCTTCAACTGTTTCTTTGTTTTCTTCAATTTCTTCTTTGTTGTCTTCGATTTTCTTCTTTGTTTTCTTCAATTTCTTTTTGTCTTCAATTTCTTCTTTGTTTTCTTCAATTTCTTCTTTGTTTTCTTCAATTTCTTCTTTGTTTTCTTCAATTTCTTCTTTGTTTTCTTCAATTTCTTCTTTGTTTTCTTCAATTTCTTCTTTGTTTTCTTCAACTGTTTCTTTGTTTTCTTCAATTTCTTCTTTGTTGTCTTCAATTTCTTCTTTGTTTTCTTCAATTTCTTCTTTGTTTTCTTCAATTTCTTCTTTGTTTTCTTCAATTTCTTCTTTGTTTTCTTCAATTTCTTCTTTGTTTTCTTCAATTTCTTCTTTGTTTTCTTCAATTTCTTCTTTGTTTTCTTCAATTTCTTCTTTGTTTTCTTCAATTTCTTCTTTGTTGTCTTCAATTTCTTCTTTGTTTTCTTCAATTTCTTCTTTGTTGTCTTCAATTTCTTCTTTGTTTTCTTCAATTTCTTCTTTGTTTTCTTCAACTGTTTCTTTGTTTTCTTCAATTTCTTCTTTGTTTTCTTCAATTTCTTCTTTGTTTTCTTCAATTTCTTCTTTGTTTTCTTCAATTTCTTCTTTGTTTTCTTCAATTTCTTCTTTGTTTTCTTCAATTTCTTCTTTGTTTTCTTCAATTTCTTCTTTGTTTTCTTCAATTTCTTCTTTGTTTTCTTCAATTTCTTCTTTGTTTTCTTCAATTTCTTCTTTGTTGTCTTCAATTTCTTCTTTGTTGTCTTCAATTTCTTCTTTGTTGTCTTCAATTTCTTCTTTGTTTTCTTCAATTTCTTCTTTGTTGTCTTCAATTTCTTCTTTGTTGTCTTCAATTTCTTCTTTGTTGTCTTCAATTTCTTCTTTGTTGTCTTCAATTTCTTCTTTGTTTTCTTCAATTTCTTCTTTGTTTTCTTCAATTTCTTCTTTGTTTTCTTCAACTGTTTCTTTGTTTTCTTCAATTTCTTCTTTGTTGTCTTCAATTTCTTCTTTGTTTTCTTCAATTTCTTCTTTGTTGTCTTCAATTTCTTCTTTGTTTTCTTCAACTGTTTCTTTGTTTTTTTCAAATGTTTCTTTGTTTTCTTCAATTTCTTCTTTGTTTTCTTCAATTTCTTCTTTGTTTTCTTCAATTTCTTCTTTGTTTTCTTCAATTTCTTCTTTGTTGTCTTCAATTTCTTCTTTGTTTTCTTCAATTTCTTCTTTGTTTTCTTCAATTTCTTCTTTGTTTTCTTCAATTTCTTCTTTGTTTTCTTCAATTTCTTCTTTGTTTTCTTCAATTTCTTCTTTGTTTTCTTCAATTTCTTCTTTGTTGTCTTCAAATTTCTTCTTTGTTTTCTTCAATTTCTTCTTTGTTTTCTTCAATTTCTTCTTTGTTTTCTTCAATTTCTTCTTTGTTTTCTTCAATTTCTTCTTTGTTGTCTTCAATTTCTTCTTTGTTTTCTTCAATTTCTTCTTTGTTGTCTTCAATTTCTTCTTTGTTTTCTTCAATTTCTTCTTTGTTTTCTTCAACTGTTTCTTTGTTTTCTTCAATTTCTTCTTTGTTTTCTTCAATTTCTTCTTTGTTTTCTTCAATTTCTTCTTTGTTTTCTTCAATTTCTTCTTTGTTTTCTTCAATTTCTTCTTTGTTTTCTTCAATTTCTTCTTTGTTTTCTCTAATTTCTTTCTTTGTTTTCTTCAATTTCTTCTTTGTTTTCTTCAATTTCTTCTTTGTTTTCTTCAATTTCTTCTTTGTTTTCTTCAATTTCTTCTTTGTTTTCTTCAATTTCTTCTTTGTTTTCTTCAATTTCTTCTTTGTTTTCTTCAATTTCTTCTTTGTTTTCTTCAATTTCTTCTTTGTTTTCTTCAATTTCTTCTTTGTTTTCTTCGATTTCTTCTTTGTTTTCTTCAATTTCTTTTGTTTTCTTCAATTTCTTCTTTGTTTTCTTCAATTTCTTCTTTGTTTTCTTCAATTTCTTCTTTGTTGTCTTCAATTTCTTCTTTGTTTTCTTCAATTTCTTCTTTGTTGTCTTCAATTTCTTCTTTGTTTTCTTCAATTTCTTCTTTGTTGTCTTCAATTTCTTCTTTGTTTTCTTCAACTGTTTCTTTGTTTTCTTCAACTGTTTCTTTGTTTTCTTCAATTTCTTCTTTGTTTTCTTCAATTTCTTCTTTGTTTTCTTCAATTTCTTCTTTGTTTTCTTCAATTTCTTCTTTGTTTTCTTCAATTTCTTCTTGTTTTCTTCTTCAATTTCTTCTTTGTTTTCTTCAATTTTTCTTTTTCTTTTTTCTTCAATTTCTTCTTTGTTTTCTTCAATTTCTTCTTTGTTGTCTTCAATTTCTTCTTTGTTTTCTTCAATTTCTTCTTTGTTTTCTTCAATTTCTTCTTTGTTTTCTTCAATTTCTTCTTTGTTGTCTTCAATTTCTTCTTTGTTTTCTTAACTGTTTCTTTGTTTTCTTCAACTGTTTCTTTGTTTTCTTCAATTCTTCTTTGTTTTCTTCAATTTCTTCTTTGTTTTCTTCAATTTCTTTTTGTTTTCTTCAATTTCTTCTTTGTTTTCTTCAATTTCTTCTTTGTTTTCTTCAATTTCTTCTTTGTTTTCTTCAATTTCTTCTTTGTTTTCTTCAACTGTTTCTTTGTTTTCTTCGATTTCTTCTTCAGAATTTTCTTCTTCTTTGCTTTCGTTTGCTGGTTCGATGTTTTCTACTTCAGGGAGTTCGATTGCTCTTTCTTTCACAGAAATAGTTTCTTCTCCTTTTTCTTTTTCTTCATTTCCTTTTTCGAGGAAAATTCCGAAAACATTCTGAAGAAGTTCGAAATCGAAGTCATCTTTGTTATAGAATGCAGGAATCGTTGCAGCAGCCTTTGTCTCTTTCTTTCTTGCCATTTTCAACACTCTCTTATGCATATCAGTCAAATCTAGACCAGAAACAACTTTGTCAGACAAAAATTTTTCAATGTCCAAATTATTGATTTTGCAGATGAAAGCAGTGACGAGGAAGAAAGACTGGTACCTCAAACACTTGGAGTAGAAGTCCAAATCATAGTCTTTTCCTTGTGAATATGCAATTGTTGCTGAGATCTGCGAAACAATGAATTTTCCGTATTTTTCAACGAAATTTTTCATTGATTCGCTGCTTGTTTTTGTGTTATCAACTTTAGTACTCGTTTGTACAAACAGTTCTATTGCATACGTATCAACAAAATCAAAGGAAAACAATGATTCAGCGTAATGCAAAATTGTATCGAGTTTTGAAGAGTTGGAATTCACAACCATTGCGATATTCTTGAAGAACCTGCCCAGCATTGGCGAGATATCCGCAGAAGGACTCATGTTGGCCTCTCTTTTTATTAATTTGAAGGAATTATGAGAAACATAACGGAGATTCATCGAAGTAACTGTTCCGGAGCCATTGGCCGCTGGTCCTTCTGGGTTCTTTGAGGCTTGAAGGACATGGCGAGTCAAGTTTTCGCAGAAAGTTGTGATTGCCATTTCTCTACTCGGAGTTTTAACGAATGGCTGGACAGTAAGGAGCTTTTTGATGACGTCATCGGATATATCTGAAGGATGGTTGCTCCTCAAGATGTCATTCGCAATGTTGAAAGGTAAAATTCTGATACTCGAGAGAGGACTCGACAAAATATAGTCGAGATGGTCCCAGACTTTGTAGGCTGTGACACTGGAATAAGTCAAAGATAAGAAAGCGCCCATAGGAGATGTAATTGGCACTAATTGACTTAATCTTTGAGAAATCGGTTTGTCGAAGGACAAAAATGAGAGAATTGTCATAACTAAACATAATTCACTCAAAATGACGGATTGATTTTCCTTGGAAATGTCTCTTTGATGATCTGGGGTGTCACTTTTTTCGTTTTTGTCACTTTTTGATTGTTCTGCTTCATCCAAAGTGTTTTTAACGATTTCTAAGGCGGCAGGAAGGGATGCTAAGCTTTGTTTTCCGTATTTCTTGAGGAAAATCGAGAGAAGCCTCAAAGAAAGGTATCGTTTCTTTCTGGATTTGCGAGATGCAGAGACAATTCTGAAAATTGTGGAAAAGATTTCATCTCCTTTGAAAGAAATCTTGTTAACAAGGTTCATCATGAGGTAGATATGCTCTTTGTTGATCTTATTCAGCTTCTCAAACAAAGATAAGATGTGACTTGGATCAAATCTGACCAAAGCCGTTGCTTTTCTTCTTGCTCCTTCTGACTGTAGGAAGCAGTATTCAAGGAAGTTGTCTGGAGTGTTCCTCTTGACGTATTTCTGCACAACTTCTGGATTATTTGCAAATCCTCTTGGAATCACCATCAAAAACGCACTGAGAATCTGATCAGCAAGTGGGAGATCGACATATTTGGAGATGTCGAGTGTGTATTTGCATGATCTGGCCACTCTGCAGACTTCTAAAGCCAATCTTTTTGAATTTGATTTGAAAGAGAAGTCCAAAATCTCTTCAAAGAGCTCTTTCGGAGGCTTTGTCGTAACAGACTGCAAGTACATCAGGTAATAAACAGGTGTCTTCAAGAAATCTGGGATTGGAATTCCGGCATTGATGAAAGGAGTGATTGTAGAGAAGAATCGGCGGTAGTTATGTGGATCTGGGTATACCTCGATTTCATCTGTGATCCTTTCTGAGTTGTTCTCGTTTGGAACAACCTGATTTACACCTTCGACTTCTTTTACAACCAAATTCTTGTCTGCTTTTCCACTGAGCAACTCATCTGCATCAATATAATTTGATGATTTCTCATTTTCGGAATTCTGAGAGCCCTCAATTTTCTGAGCATTCAGAATATTTATGAGGCTGAAAAATTTTTTAATATCCTCTGTATCTTTTTTGTTTATATAGGCCTGGTTCCTTATATGGTTCTTGAGATCGGAGATATATGATTCTACCTTGATGTTCTTCAAGTCGTAAGCGCATTTCTCGTGTGCTCTTACGATAAAATGGATTGTAGAAATTGTTGACTCGTAACCAAAGACGGAAGCGGTCAGAACTCTGGCGAACGACGTGATCATGCGGTCTGTTACGAAATCGCAAGGCAAAAGAGAAGAAGCGAAACGGGAAGAGTGTACAGGAAAGAATGGTGTCATAGATGTGGCCAAAGAGAACAGATAATTGGTATCTTCGATTGTCATATCAAGTTCTACCCACGGAACATTCGTTAAATACGTTAAAGCTGCAAGAGCAACGCCGAAAAATTGAGAATGCCAAATATTCGGGTTTTGAAGTATGTCAATATCATTCATTTTGACGATATTCTTGTGCTTTACACCTTCAAAGAACTTTGTACGAGGTGGGGAGATAGATTCTCCTGTAAATTCGTGATATGAAGAATCAATAATTGATGTAGCGTGTTTTACGAAGAATAAAGTAATTTCTGGGTTGTGTAGTTTATTAATGAATGTCGAGAGAATTGTAAATGAGCTTGAAAGTAATCTTGTCGTGAAATAAAACAAAGATAAAGATTCATGTAAGAAATTTGCGATACTTAAGAATGATTCTTGGTATCCTTCTGGTATATTTGCGAAAACGAATGCCAAAAATGACATTCTCCATTCAAAAGTCTGTTGATCAAAAACATCAAGGCGATGAATGAGCGCGTCAACGAATAATCTGTAAAATATCGGTTGCATTGTCTTTGCCATATGCAAAACTGTGTCTTTTGTCGCTTTCTGGAGCTTATCCGACTTTGATATCGAACAATTTTCAATAAATTGAAGGATACTACTGACATTCTGTATATATACATTAGCGAAATCGATTTTAGTGAGCATCTTCATGATCCAGAACTTGTGGATCCAGTTATCTGTCTCAACTTCCATACAATTTTTCAATAATTCATTGAAAATCTCTGTTTGGTCCTGAATTGAAGGCAAAACTTCGATGGCATTTGCAAACAACTCATTGGTAGGCTGAGTGTTCGATCTAAGCAAGAAAATCAGTTCTTCTCTGTAATTTTGACTTTTTGCGAAAAATTTGAGAAGAATCGGTACTTTTGAGTGGTCGGCCAAGAATTTTGCAACGTCTGTTGTGGCCGTAGGGTTGTAGGTGAAGAGTGGTTTCACAATTTTCTCTTCAATTGGCAAAGAAAGTAAAGGACCGATAGAAGACGATTTCATGACCATCTCCGTGGTCACGAGCTCCTTGATACGATCAGCAGAGATCTGTTCGCTCTTATAAAGCGAATTTAAGACGATACAAGCGTAATCAACTTCGATTCCTTGATTTTCTGATTTGATGGCAGTAAAACATCGCTGAATGAGTTTCTCAAGTTTCTCTGTAGCGATCGATGGTATTGTTCTTGGATACATAAGGCAAATTATACTTAAAGGAGTATTTTCCGTGAGAACAGCAGAAAAACGAGATGGATCGATTGAAAATAGTCTTGCAGATGCACGTGCAAAGTGCCTGTTGTTAGGATACTTCTGTGCAAGCATAAATAAAAATTCTGCAATTGTAAGTAAAAAATCTGAGGGAAGATGCATGAGTCCTTCGATTAAGGGGACCAAATGATCGCTATCGTTAACGCCGAATAAATGAAATATTGGCGTTTCACTGATAATTTGGTGAATTAATTGTGAATTAAAGAATTTTGAGAGATAGCAGAAACAAGAAAGTAATAATATTGACTCATCAGTTACAGAGGATATAACAGTTTGTAAAGATTGCATTAAATTTTGATAATAATACGGCCCAAGTTTCATAAGAATAGATCCAAGTGTATTTGATGCGGCAATTCGAACACTAGGCTGTCCATTCTTATAGATTGTATCGAGAGTTCTCCATAAAAATGTATATAAAAATTTAATTTGTTTTGAATCAAGCGAAACAAAATATGCTCGATTGATTTTTTGGCGGATAATGGAAAGTTCTGCTAATATTTGTTGTCCATTTTCCTCATTAACTGGAAGATGCAATAATTTCAGAACTGACTCCATTTTAACACAATTTGATAAAAAATTATTTTTCTATCGGCGTGGAGCGCAAATATTATAGAGTAGGGATTAAACCTTATGAAGTTATCCTAACTTCAGAATTTAATCCAAATATTCTTTTACTCAAGCTTCAAAAATATCCTTAAATGTTCGATACCGGCAAATCATCATGAGATTTAAAGCATGGATATAGTAAAGGCGAGAAAAGCTTTTAATAAGAACAAAATAGCAATTTTTGCCTTCTGCTATCTTTTTTTCTTGTATAGAATGATGAATTTAAATCTTAAAAAAAAAGCTATAGCGACTGATGCTCTTTCAATATTTGATCAACACCTTAAAATTTTCAATATTAATATACAGCATAAATATTTATTTCTGAGGGACAATAGTTCCACCCCATTCAATGACTGTGAAACCATCACGATTGAATGTTGGAAGTTCTTGTGGTTCGATGTCGCATGGACTGTCTAGAGGGAGAGCTGCGAAGAAGACTCTGTTGATGTTGTCTGGTTTCGGTTCGACGTTCATTGGACACATCTCGTCGAAGTTTTCGAACTGGAAGCATACTTTGACATATTTGTATCCACAAAGCTTCGGACACCAGTATGTGACGAAATCACATATCTCTGCGTCGTTGAGGTTCATAGACTTCAGCTTATCCTCGAAGAAAGAGACACTATCGTCGCCTTTGATGATGAATCCTTTGTCCATGTTAAGATTAGGATAGAAGAGTGTTTCCCAGAAGAGATACCTTATCTTCTTCCCTATTTGGACGATCTCGCCTGATGGGAGTGCTTTCACATTCCACGTGTTATCTTCGTCGAATGAAGGATACACGAATGAAAAATCGCCATCATTGAGATGAATACTTACCTTTGCATCGATTTCTTCCTTTGGATATAAATAAATCACTGGTTTTGCGCCACATAATCTTAAAACAAGCTGAATTTTGTCTCCATATTTAACACCATAATCTTTTAACTTTATTTCAGCTTCCAATTGCTTTCCAGCAAAAATCAATCTTATCTTTTCAACAGGGGTACCTTCCTGTTCTTGAATTAAGTATTTGAAATACTTTACCTTGAGATTGAGATCAATGTCAGTAAACAAAACATAATCACCTCGGCACGTAACTAACTCGATTTGATTAGCTGGATTTGCATGGCTCTCTGGATGTACTTTTTCAACAAGGTATATAATATTTTCATTCTTTATACCATAGTCTTTTATAGGAATATCTGCTTTCATCTCTTTCATGTTAAAAATCAATCTTTGCTTTTCTATTTTAATACCTGTTTGTTCTTGGACCAATGATTTCAAATAATTAAGTGTATTAATCAATTCAACATTTTCAAATGTGTAGATCTTTCCTGTTACTGTTTTTACAAAAATTAGAGTGGCTCTGCATTCATCACCTAAAGCTTTCTGGTCAGACTCCATTGACAGCTAATTATAAAATAAAATGAAAATTTTTTCAAAAATTCTTGAAAATTGAAAGCTTGAATTTAATGGAATTTTCTTTCAAAAAATTTGAATGCATGGAAAATATATGAAAGTTCCGATTCGTTGTTTATTCTTACTTTTTTCCCAAATTTTTCCAACTTTAGCGTTTGTTGGTAAAAATTCAACTTTATCTGTTAACATGGAATTGTTGAGGTTCTTTATGAATAAATATTTTGATTGAGGGCTGATAATGTAGATTAATGCCTTGATAATAACATACCCATAAGCAATTATTAATCATAGAAAAAAAAAGCTATGCTGGTTTTAATGAGTGAGGCAAAAAAAAGCTACTCACTCTCAAAAACGTTTTCAACAAAGGTCCAGGTACTGTACGCATAGATGGTTCTAATAAAAATAACATTTTTATTGATAAATTTTGTTCATTTGAAATTAAAACTCCAACAGATGATGATTTTACTTATTTCAGGGGCATCAACAGCACAATCCTCCAAGGATCAAAGATGGTAAATTTTTATCTCCACCTCCAAGTGGAGAGGAGCTGCCTATTTGGGGTAATTACTCTCAAAAGTGTGATCCTTATGGTAGCATGAAAACTCACCCACGTTAGTCCAGAATTTTCTAAGGTAATCAAGCGAAATTGTATGTGTGAAATGCTCTCCTATGATGAATAAATTGATATCCATGTTTATGCTTCTTTATTTCTTGTTTTCGTAAAAATTATTTTGATATAATATGAAGATCAAAATTTTTTATTTGTTGGCAAGGTTATTGCATTTCTTGCAAAATTGGTGCATCTTCACTATGTAAGCATTGAATGAATGAAGCTCTATTCTGCAGCTCCACTATTATATAGAGCAAGATTAGTCTCGAACTTTCCTACATTACATTCGAAAATGTACTGTGGAATAAGCTTTTTTTAGTATTGACTAAACTGCGAGACAAAAGGCGTAAATTCACTTTTGTATTCAGAATATTCTATGAGAATAATTTTATTTAATGGATAACATAAGATTAGTAAGTAGATAAATATTATCAGAAAATTTAAATCCGCTGTTCAGGATTAGATTATCTGATATTTGATAATCAAGTAAACAGACGCTTTACCTATGGAAATAGTATCACAGTATTCCCATAGTTACAAAACAAAATAGAATCAACAATAATAAATTTTAAATTCATTCTGAAAATTTAACTACGTTAGTGATCGTATCTTTGTACTGGTAATGACTCATAATTTATGTAGCCATTTGAGGTGTTAGATAGAAACGAGTTACCCGAAAGGAAGATTTTTTTATAAAAAGTATCAAGTATATTTCGTTGAAAGACCAGCACTTTATAGTATGGTGAGTCTGCAATTTTATAGTTACAATTTGCTTGTGTGGATATTTTGAGTATTTCTGAAAATTTAAAAGTTATTAAATGAATTTTCGCTAAAATGAGATTTCTTTTAATTTGATGGTAACGGAGCTCGTGTAACATGGATAATAGCCGATGGAGTGTAAATTTGAAATTAGAATTTATCTTAATTGCATGAGATTTAAACATGGATCATGCAGAGGGTTACTATACTTGCCGAACTATATGGGCGGCAAGAATTGCAAAGCTGAGCATATTGTTGCCAATAAGGCATTAAAAAAAATGATGTAAACTATTCAAAATTTAATACTTACGCTTTTTGTCTCGCAGTTTATTTTATATTTTATATTTAAGATAAATTTTTTTTTTGAAAACAATTTCGAAAAGTGTCACAGCGTTAATTTTCATAATTCATGTCAAGTTCAGAACAATCAAAAAATGAAAATGGTTGTGATTTTGGTGACATTAAACCAATTAAAGAATTTGAATACCCTAATGAAGCTTCTACAATTATTTGGGGTGTCAATTCCAATAATATTTTACAAATATCTTCACAAATTATAGAATTCATTACAAATAACAAAATATTATCCAAATGGTAATTTATCTGATTGATATTTTTTCGCAAATTCGTGTTAAAGATCTTAAATTATTTACGGAACTTTACAAACAGATATTAAGCGAATTCTCATGTTTGATCAAACCAGAAAATGAAAAATTGACAACACTTTTATATTATAAAGGTTTCAAATTCGGAAACTTCTATCCTGAAATGAAAGAAGAGGAAATTCTGAATTTATATTCAACATAATCTCCTTTATACTATATTGAATCGGATAAAATTGATGATCTGAAAAGTAAATTTCCAAATCTTGATATCAATCAAAAAATTAATGATATCACACCACTTGATTGTGCAATTAAACATGGATCAGAACTGTGTTTCAATTACTTGAAAAACGTAGGAGGTAAATACACTTCTAAGTCCGAAGAATATGCTGTTCAAGGCGGAAATAAAGAGATTTTTATGCAAATGATTGAAGATGGTAAATCATTTGATAACATGATTAATACAGCATTGAAATATCGAAACTATGAAATTGCTGGGTATCTTAAATCAAATTTTGGACAAACTCCTAATTCAATAGCCGAAAGCATGTATTTCGGAAATTATGATGTTGCATCTTATTTACTTACTAATGGAGAAGATATTAACAAAATTTATATTCTCTTTATTTTCATATTAATCATTATTTTATTACATTTTCTTTGTTTTCATATTTTTCATTGCTTTATAAAATTCTCTCGATATTAATCAGTGCCCTCTTAGTATTGCAATCAAATCCAAATCAATAGATATTGTTAAATTCTTAGTTGAGCATGGTGCAGATGTTAACATGAAACTTATTCTATTTCTTATCATATTTATCATTGATTTATAAAATTCTCTTTCTTATCATATTTATCATTGTTTCATGAAATTCTCTTTCATTATATATCTATCATGTTTTTTATATAATTCCCTTTCTTTTCATATTTATCATTGTTTTATAAAATTCTCTTTCTTTTCATATTTATCTTTGTTTTATAAAATTCTCTTTCTTTTCATATTTATCTTTGTTTTATAAAATTCTCTTTCTTTTCATATTTATCTTTGTTTTATAAAATTCTCTTTCTTTTCATATTTATCATTTCTTTTTACAATTCTCTTTCTTTTCATATTTATCTTTGTTTTATAAAATTCTCTTTCTTTTCATATTTATCTTTGTTTTATAAAATTCTCTTTCTTTTCATATTTATCATTTCTTTTTACAATTCTCTTTCTTTTTATATTTATCATTGTTTTATATAATTTCCTTTCTTTTCACATGTATCTTTGTTTTATAAAATTTCCTTTCTTTTCACATGTATCTTTGTTTTATTACATTCTCTCAATAGTATTAATTCCCCTCTTAGTATTGCAAGCAAATTGAATTCAACAAATATTATCAAAATCTTAGTTGAACATGGTGCTTCATATTGAAACAAAATATAGTAATGCTATTTGAAAGAGATTACAAATATTGGTAAAATTGATAAAAATTTTAATTTTACAGTTGCATTTACCACTTTTTGACACACTCTCAATTTTTTTGACAAATGGGCTTTGAAACTGGGATTATTTGCAGATCTCATATAATATTATGACATGGAATAACATGCTCATATGAATGTTAAATTGAAATACAAAAATTCCGTTTATATTACTGTAAAATCAACTTCAGATGATAAAGAGTGTCAAAAAAATTGGTAGAAAAACTTTGAGGATTAAACTAAGAACTCGGAAGAAAGATAAAAAGGTACAATTACTTGAAAAACTTAGGAGGTAAATACACTTCTAACTCCGAACAATATGCTGTTCAAGGCTGAAATAAAGAGATTTTTATGCAAATGATTGAAGGATTGTTCTTCACCATTCAGCACATTATAATAGTACATAAATAGCTGAGCTTCTAATTTCACATTGTGCAAATATCATTTAAACATTTTATTTGAGAAAATTACTTTTCGTTTCATGGTAGAAAAAAATAATCAAGAATTTCCCGAGTTTTTAATATCACAGTGTGCAAAGAATTAATATTAAAGATGAAGAAGGGAAAACCATTCTATAAATTGCAGCATGTGATGCATAAAATAAGGTTCCTTTATAAAAATTAATAGACCTATTTATAAATAGCAGGGGATTTATAAATACACCCCCTTATTTGGAATTTCCAATTAATTGGAAAAACCGTCGCAATTGGAAATATTGCGAGATTGAAATTTCCAATCTCTCAATTGGAAATTCCAAATAAGTTTTTATTTGGAAATTCCAATTCATTTGGAAATTATAAATAAAATCCCTTATTTATGAATACCCTTATGTTTGGAAATATAAGGTCTTTTAGAAATTAGAAATAAGAAATTTGAAATTGGAAAAACCAGAGTATTTTGATTATACTATAGGTGAATGTAAAAATTTAATTAGTATATATTACATTTAAAAACTATTGCATTTTATCAAATTTTAAATTCAACAAAAATTTTGTTTTGTTTAATAAGATAATATAGGGCATATTTCCAATTTCCATTTCTAATTCACAATTCAGGTTTTATTTATAATTTCCAAATGAATTGGAATTTCCAAATAAAAACTTATTTGGAATTTCCAATTGAGAGATTGGAAATTTCAATCTCGCAATATTTCCAATTGCGACGGTTTTTCCAATCGGGCGGTTTTTCCAATTAATTGGAAATTCCAAATAAGGGGGTGTATTTATAAATCCCCTGCTATTTATAAATAGATCTATTAATTAATGATTTAAAAATAAATAATATTTTGTATTTTCTGAGAGGAAGGAAGATGATTAAAATTGCTTGTTATTTAATTTGATGATTACCAAGGTATTAGCCATGTTTAACATATTCAAAATATGTTTCACACTTTTTCTGAGAAACTTCAAGCCGATAAAAAGTTGAATACATATTTTAATAGGTTCTGATACTTTTTTCGGGCTTATTTTATAAGCCCGTAAAAAGTGTCAAACCTATTATAATATTAAGTGCCAAGGTAAAAAAAAATACAATCCAAATAGGCGAACAAAACTTTGAGAACTCAATATGAGAATGGAGAGCAGTACATTTTCCGAAAAACGACATTTTAACTTTACAAAGTTTACGTTTGTAAATTGGCATTTTTGCCACTTGTTTGCCAAAGCCCCCAAAAAAAGTTTGGCGCCAAATCGCAAAAATGTCAGAATCTCCTTGTGGACCACAGATGGTGTCGCCGCCGACTATCTGCTTGCTGGGAGGCTACGCAGCCTTTGATCTGGCCAATCATAGTTCTGCTCCATCCACATCAGCAAGTGATTTCGGCATGAGATCTCCAATGGGTCTTCCATGAGGTTTCTGCAAGCCAGAAGCACAATATCTATGCAGCCTAGCTGCTAGGATAGCGTAGCTAGGCTGCGTAATTATTGTGCTATTGGCGATATTAGTTATACGTTATTGCTCTCATCGACTACAGTACTACTCCCTGAACCCTTGAGAGTCAGGGATGTAAGTTTACTCGAAATGGGCAATGTTCAGCACGAAATCTCTCATTTGATGAGAGACTTTGTAATAAACGTTGCCTTAAAGCACTCTTACTACTCTTTCCTGGTTCCCAAAAGGCCTAGGATTCTGTAATTGATCGAATAGGACAGAGTTTTTCCGAAGTCTCTCATTTGATGAGAGACCTCGGAAGAACTCTAGTCTCTGACAATTTGTGTGTTAGAGAATGTACTTTTACTCGAATAGAGCAGAGTTTTTCCGAAGTCCCTCTGCCCTAGTGTAATGTAGTTGTGGTACTTGGCCCGCAAAGAGCGAAAGAACTTGTCTGTAATTCGTTTATGCTGAAGTTATCTGGATGTCTCTCAGATGAGGAAGGAAATCCAGAAAACTTCAGCATAAGTTAATGCAGATGTGATTCTCTGGCTCTTTGTCGGCCAGAGAATGAATTAAAAGTTTAATGTGTGAGTAGGCTCGGTGCATGCCTACTCACTGCAAATATACGTTATTTTTTTATTTCCTATGAGAAAATAGTTTTGCATTTTTATGATGTCATATACTCTATTACTTAATAAATTGTTTATTTTCTTATTTTTCTTATTGTTTATTTTTCTTATTAAAATTTTCCCATGTGATTCGGAATCTCTACATTCCAAAAATGCGTTTTCCGCTCTTAGAACGCGAAAATATGCACTACATTGTTGCATGCTAAGTTCGGTCAACGATAGAAATTGAGTGGAAATTAATCGTCGAGGAAGTACGATTATGTAAAGTAAAAAAATGTTGTGGGATTTTTAATATTATATATTATTTTATAATAAAATTTTTTTGAGTCATTTTAAGAAGCACATATAATTTTTTGAATTTAAAAATTAAAGTAGTGTCAAACGAATTTATCACTTAATTTAATACTCAGATTTCTTAAAATTAATGAAAAAAGGTTTTCTGAGAACTTTTGAGAATGGTTTTCAAATTCCATTATTGAAAATATATAGGTATTGTATGAAATTCAAACTCTATATTTATTAAAATTCTAAATTTTTAATAAAATAACTTTTCAGAGGAATATGATTTTGAATGGTTGATTAATAAGTATAAAAATGTCTACGATTTTAAGGAGGGAATTGTTCCTTATGAGGTATACATCATAACTATATACCTCATAAGGAACAATTCCCTCTTGATAGCTGGAAACTTTCTCTGAATAACTTATCATTTGGAGAAAGTTTCCCAGCTATCTATTAGAAACTAAAGGCTGTGAGGCACTAATATATAATCAGTGCCTCATAGCCTTTAGTTTCTTATTAAAAACGAGAAAACTTGTTCGAAATGATAAACAATTTCGAACAAGTTTTCTCGTTTTAAGGAGGGAATTGTTCCTTATGAGGTATACATCATAACTATATACCTCATAAGGAACAATTCCCTCTTGATATCCTGTATATTTTTGAATATATTTTTTTAATTAAAGTTCTCAAAAGTATTATCAAAAGTGATTTTTTAAAAATATCTCCAATTAATTAACTAATTAAAAGTATTATATTTTTAAAATTAAATAGTTTTTCAATTTTTTTGAAGGAATTGAGATACTTCCCACGACAATAAAATTGAGAGGTTTACATTATGACTGATCTTAGCATGCAACAACATAGGAAGATAAAGATGATTCTCTCTCCTAGGGATGCGACGGTTTTACGCCATGACCGTTTAAAAATAGAATAATACGCCATTTTTGGGGCCGAATGGCGGGTACGAAGTAGCCGCCATTCGGCCGAATAACAAAACAATACAAAATTATCGCCGTCCTTTTTTTTCTTTCTTTCTTTCTCTTTTTTTTTTTCCTCTCTCTCTTTCTTTTCTCTTTCCTCTTTTTACTCCTCTTTCTCTTTTCATCATTAAACGAAAAAAAAAAAAAAAAAAAAAAAAAAAAGTAGTGGGGCTTCCAGGCGCGTTGCGCCCTCTAGCCCTGAAGATGTTTAGTATAAATGAAGTTTTTATTCGGAGGGCTTCCAGGCGCGTTGCGCCCTCTAGCCCATAAAAAATTTCTGAGGACGAGCCAGCCGTTGACTTTTTTGTAGAGCACTCAAAATAGTATAACTTTGTCCGGACAAGTAAGGGTCTATCGTCGCTACAGGAAAAGTTACAGGCGTTCCAAGGAAGTATACTTTGAGAAGCCTTTTCTCCTTATAGAATGAGATAGGACGGTTATTTTACAAAACTGACAACACGTTGACCGAGTAGTTTTTTGTGCTGAACAAAAAGTGTCATATAAACATCTGTCAAAAACCGCTTTTTAACTTCACTTAAAATGCCACGTAAGCTACGTAAGAATATACGTAAGAGGAAGGGAGCATTGAAACATCCAATAGTAAAACTGACACCACAACAACAGTTGCAAAACAAAATGCTGAATGACCCCACTATGTTGCAACAAATGTCAAGCAATCCTATGCTTTTAAACCGAGTTGTTGGTGCACAGAGTGGAGGTTTAAGACGGCACTTTTAGCGAAAATGGCAGGCTATGGTGGAGCTGCAGACGGAACAGCTTATAACCTCAAAGTCAAATGAATTTGAGTTCACTCAAAAATCAAATAACAGATGTCAAAAAGTCAAACATAGACATACAGAAACAAATAAGTGAAAACGAAAAGAAACTAGAATATGACAGACACACAAAGAAACTCAATGAGTTAAACGTAGAGAAAAAGAAGAAAGAAGAACAACTGAAAGAACTAAGTACAGAGGAATATGCGAAAAAAGTGTCAGAAAAAGCAGCAGAAGTAGCAAAAATGGAACAAGATGTCATAAATTTGAAAAACCATACTACTCAATATAAAATACTGAAAGATGAAGAGATAAAACAAAAAGCCCTGAAGACATATATGGATAGCGATGAGTATAAAAAAGAAGTTGAAGCAAATGTAAAGGCAGAAAAACTTTTACAGTTGCAAAACCAAACCGTACAGTATGAAAACTTAGCACAAGAAAGTAAAAATAACGACGCGGCTATGCAAAAGGCAATGAAAAGCGCAGAATATATAAAAGCTAACAATGACTGGTTAGATGCCCAAGCCAACGCTAAAGCAGCCCAACTCATAGGGTCAATAAGGACAAAAATACAAGCGGATGAAGACAGTTCAAATGAAGCTTTAACAAATGCTGACTTTAAGAACGCTTTCGAAGCTCTTCATAGTAAGGTGAAACAAGTGAACGACTTCTCATCTGGAAAGAAACTGAAGTCTGAAGGTTTCGACAAAGAGTTAAAAGAAGTAGCACAAAATATGACGAAAATAACAGATGCAGCAACGAGACAGGCAGTTCAAAGTGCCTATGACGCCGTTAGAGCAACTGTTGTGAAAAGTCAAGAAAAAGAGTTACAACAGACCAAAACAGACCTAGTAAATGCTTTCTTAAGAACGAAAAGTCAGGTAGGACATTACGCTGCAGATGGAACATATGTGCCAGCTGGTGGAACTTATATACCACCAAACCCTCCAAGAGAAGCACCTGCACCAGGACTACCTAAAACATTTACATCGTCACATGGACACAGACACAGGCATGCACCAAAACCAACACAACAACCAGCACAACAACCAACAGTTCAAAACCCTGCACAACAACCACCTCCACAACCAGCACAACAACCAGCACAGCAACCAACAGTTCAAAACCCTGCACAACAACAACCACAAACAGAGCAAGGACATAAAAGAAGTAGAGAACAAGGAAACCAAGAATTCTTAAAAATGCTTAAAGAAGAGTGTGGTTTCCCAGATACTGTTGACTTTAGTGACAGATATAAAGAAGCTATTGGAAAGTTCAAGGATGGAAATACTGACCCGAACCTATTTAGCTTTATGGCTCAACACCAAAACGGATATAATCTCAAACCTGGAAAATACAAGCTCGCTAAGGGATATGATTTAATAGCATATCATCCAAATGACATGAACGAATTTACTCCGAGATATTTGATGTCAGAGCTAAATGACAATTCAACTTTCGTCATGAAACGCGTAAAAAATAGAGACGGAACGAAAGAACAAAAGCTTATGAATGCGGATGACGTAGATAGGGAAATTGTTGAAAACGGTCTCGGAATATATGAAATGCCAGCAGATGAGGTACAAGAAACTCCACAGGAAGAAATAGTTCAGATACAACCAGACATGGAAGAAATAGTTCAGCAACAACAGCTAGAAGAGCCTGAAGGAAACGAACAAGTCACTCCTTTGGAAACTAACTTCACAGAACTAGATGAAGATTTGGAACAGCCGAAAAATCTTGACCCTCAACAAGAGTATGCGGAGAATATGGAATATTTCCAAGAGTCTAAAAAAAATTCGGCTGACATAGTAGAAGAATATCGAAAAATGTTTGCCGACATACAAAAGACTCCAACATCAGATGAAAATATTCGGCATAGAATGGAAGCACTGAAAGAAAATGTACACAAATACAACAACCCTTTTTACTTACGAGCATTTAACGTTCAATCTTCGGATGAACTCGGTGAAGATAAAAGGTTAAATTTCAAGAAAACATATAGAAATGAAACATTGTTTAAAGTTCATTCAGAACCTAACCAAAGATGGAAACAAACCTACTTTTGTTTCTGCAGACGATGGAACTACAATGAGATGGGGTCATAAAGCTAATCCAGATAGGTGTTCATAACTACAACACAATTCCAAGAAGTTGTAGACGCAATGGAAGTGAATGGTGAACCAGATATAGCTGGTATTTTCAGCGCGGCTTTAATGCCATTGAAAGATATGAAAGATGCAGATATTTTGAACCAGTATGAAATGAACATGGCTGATGGAAATATAACACCTGACGTTCTAGAACATTTATCTCAAAGAACTACACAGAACCATAGAGATGGTATATTTGGTGAAGAGTTTAGAAAGAAAGTTAGGGAGGGAGAAGGAAGAGAACCTATTGTACATGACCTTGCAAACGAAAGTTTGCAAAATGTCATAAAAACTTACTTTGCAGGCGATGAACTGAGAAGGGATGAATATTTAAGAAAACTCAAATGGACAGTACCAAATGAAATGTTAGTATTGAAAAACATGTTCCTTGACAAAATAAAACCAACTACAGAAATAAACGACGCAAGACTGAAAGATTGGGTAGAAGCTTTCCCATTCACAAAAGATATAGTTGGTAACATGGAAAGAAAACCAGAATGGCTACAAAAACATATATTTGGAAACGAGCTTATTCCATATGGACAAGCTCTGTTTGAAGAGCTTGAACCAGAAACTCAGGAAAGAGTCATGCAAACAATACGCAAAGACTCAAATACAGACTATGACAAACTCTTTCTAGGATATAGGTTACCTGAGATGGGCGACCAGAGCCAAAAGGCAAAAAGGACATGGGAAATTTGCAACATACTAATGAACATAATGCAAAGATGCAACAACTTCAAGCAGAGGGCAATGAAGGAAAAAGAAGAGTTAAAAACTCAGTCAGGAAGAAAGTAAAGCTTGGTCCACGTGGGTTCTATTATGACATATAAATCCAACAATTCTATTTATATTTTTACTCATATGAAATGTACGCCGCTCAGAATATAACGCCAACAGTTTTGGATGCTATGAATGGAAATGTTTCCGAATGTATAACGAATGCGACAATGCCATTAGAAGGTCAGAAATAGTTCCTGGAACTTACGAATATACAACTGCTGTTTCTTATGGAAACGTAGGTGAGTTTGGAGAAGGTTCTTCAACAACAGTAGATATTGCTTGCGACAGGTTTCATATAATTTCTATTGACAACTCTTTCTTATACGTGGAACAAGACATTGAAATAAAAACCTTCTGCCAAGTTGTCTGACAAGAAAGGTTGCAATGGAATTTTCTATGTCGGATACCAATATGCTCCAGAAGTTTTCATGGATATAAGATATATTCTAACTCTGACTTAGTTCAAACAGTAACATGGGCAAACTATGAATGGTTCGCTTTGAGAAACTCAGTACAACCACAAGCTAGAGAACAAACAGACCAGTATGCAACTATTGAGAAAATAAGAAGACTTGACCCTAACGTTCCAGGAGTTTATGTTAACCTTTCTGGACAAACTGCAGCAGCAGTAACCAAAGTAAAACTGAAACTTAGAGTTCCTTTGTCATCTTTCCTCATCTTCAGGTTTTTAAGATACTTGCCAAACTGGGCAGGAAAAATTTCTATCGAACTTACTCCAAGCAAAAATAACTTAGTCATTGCACCAACACAAGACCCATTCACTCTTACAGAAGTAGTGGGAACAAATAAAATGTCATTCGCCGACTTTTGCAAAAACAAAGTTGACTTAGACTTTGGTTTCTCAAACCTCAACACTGAAGTAAACTATTATTTCAATGCTGCTGGAGATGCTTGGGACCCAGTTAAGTTCACATGCGAACAGTTTGAATGCAAGAGAATAGAAAGCAGACTTGCAGTCTATATGTTGGACCCAGATATTTCAAATGCTTTAGCTGCCAAATATATTGCAGTTCCACTTATGTTCCCTATACACCAAATATCTGTCAAAGACTTTGCAGGTGAAGTTGGAAACCAAAGTGCTGACCCAGGTGCAAGAACAGATATTGCCTTAACAACTGCAATGAAACATGCAGATACTATGTTTTACTGTTCAGACGAACTATAAATGACTATTCTTGTTTCTACAACCCTGGTATTAAATATCATATAAACATAGATGGCAAAATTATCCAAGAGAAGAATATTCTACAGTTGAGGATATGAGGTCATACAACTTGACATTAGATGCTATGAACTTTAACAACAACTTCACAACAACCATTAACCCTGAAATGCAAAGTTCTATTATGCCATATGTGAAAGTATGGACCCATACAGGAGCTCAAAAACACTCAATATACAAATGGAGACCGTTCAACTTTTTGGCTTGGCATTCCATTTGCTGACTCAGAAGACTTTATGGGTGGTATTTCAACTGTTGGTACAGTTCAAATACAATATACTGGTGACAGAGACGGTCCCAAATGAATTGAAAGCAAAGAAGTTTTACAAAACCAATAGCACTTTTCACGGAAGATGCTCTTTTTGAAAATTCGTTCGATGAAACCTGCTGGGGCTCCTCAGATTGTATAACGACAGCTTCCATCGAGCAGATTTTGGCAGCAGGTCAGTAAGTTGTTCTTGAACTGACTTCTCTCCGTCAAATATTGACAGTACGCCAGTTTTGACATAAAATTGTAAGATAAACTTACCTTTAGAAATATCTGTAAGTTTTGTTGTTATATTTTTGTCTGCTTCAAGAACTTTCACCATTTCAGTTTATACCAACTTTCTTTGCTTTATGAAAATATTTTGGTTCAGCAAAGACTGCTATTCTATAACATTTACCATTGTTTGTATAAAGAACTATTCTGTCAATGTATTTGTATTGTTTGTGTGTGTAAACTTTGTTCTGCTTCAATTCGAAGAATACTCAAATACGTCCATCTTTTTATTCTAAGTAAAATGTCATTTCCGAAAAATAGAAGCGTTAAGTGTTTCAAAAGGTTTAATGGCGGTGGCAGATGTGAAGTTAAATTCACCAACTCAAACAAACAGTCAAAGTGTTATTGTCAATGTCAAAGAAAGAGATGTTGAAATGAAGAAGTTTACAAAACCAATAGCACTTTTCACGGAAGATGCTCTTTTGAAAATTCGTTCGATGAAACCTGCTGGGGCTCCTCAGATTGGTATAACGACAGCTTCCATCGAGCAATTTTGGCAGCAGGTCAGTAAGTTGTTCTTGAACTGACTTCTCTCCGTCA